AAAGAACATGTGCCAAGGATAGAAAGAAAAAAAGGAATCTGGAATAAATATTGTGTAGAATTGGTAAACAGAAATGGAAACATAAAAAGTGATAACATCTGAAACCTTTAAAAAAATTGAAGAAAGGAAAATCAAAAAAAAAAAAAAAAAAAAAAGCAGACCTAAATAATAGCAAAACTAGAGCTGCTAAAGACAGAGCTCATGAAGAACACACAGATGCTAATAAGGAAGTTGGGAGGTGGATAAAATGAAATATCTAGATGACCTATCATAAGAAGCAGAGACAGCAGCAGCAAAAGAAAACAACAGAGACTCTAGTCAAGGAAAGTTTCTCAGCAAAACTAAAGATCCAATGGACAGATGCATTAAATATTTTGAAGAGCTTCTGAATAGACCAGTCCTGAGGTCCCTCTAGATATTCAGCCTTTAGAAATGGAACTAGATATCGACCATAAGATAAGTTGTAAAGGAAACATTTGGAGAGCTATCAATCTCTTCAACACAAGGAAGACTGCAGGTCCAGATTGTATCACAGGGGAAGTTATTAAAGCCAATATAAGCCTCATTTAAGCCAGAATTGGTCAGCACAGATCAGCATGCAGTATGAAAAACAAAAACATAATATCAGACACAGTAAAAGTAAAAAAAGAACACCCTTTGGCCAGTTGTGCATTTAGGGAGGCTTTCGTGTGAATCAAATGATTTTTAAAAGCCATGCTTATGCCCAGTTTTTTCGTCACCCCAGTGCAAAATTTTTTTTAATGCCCCCCCCCCCCCCCCGCCTCCTTTCCCGGAATATATTCCAATTAATGACTGAGTCTGTTCATAATTACAGATTACTTTCTTCCTCTTCTTCTCAAAGTGCATAGCATGTGGCGTTGATAGTCATGTCCATTCACAACCTTCTGCCTCCTGTACTTTCAATCAACTCTGACACAGATGATCTTCCATGCCATGATATCAAACTGTCCAGCATCTTTTCTCTCGATTTCCCTCTGCCTCTCCTCCCCTCCTACTGACACTATGTACTCCAGTTTTATCTTTTTTATCTAACCTAGAGACTCTTGACAGAGTACAAAATAATGCCCTCCGATTAATGTGCAGAGCTATGTCTCCTACACCAACTGCTGCATGTGAAATCCATACAAATGTGAAACCCCTCGGGTTGCGGAGAGAAAAGCCACTTTAGAAATTTATGAAAGAAGCGTTATAGAAAATCGTAACCATCTTAATAGACATCTTGTAGAAAACTGGGAATACAAACAAAGAATAAAGCACAAATCAGTTTTACACCGTGTTCATGAAATTCAGGACAGATACCACCTCCCAGGAAGACGTCAGGGCATTCAGAATGTTGCAAGAAACCTACCACCACATGCTCGTTTTAAAGCTCCAGAAATCCTAATTAGATTGGTAGGCAAGGAAACCAAACAGTTCGACCCAATCACTCTTATGAACTCATCACTAAAGACCGTTGATTCTTACCCCCAAGAATGGATACATGTTTATACAGATGGATCAGCATTTAAAGCTACCATTAAAGCAGGTTACGGAATCTACATAGGTTATCCCAATAGATTTGTTGAAGAGATTTTTGATGCGTGCCAGGAATTCTGCTAAAATTATGAAGCCGAAATAATTGCACTGGAAACAGCAGTATACCACCTAAAGACTGTAATGAATGTTTACCTCTCAAAGGCCCAAAATATTGTCATCTTCACAGATTTAATGTTTGCCCTTCAAGCTCTGGAGAGCAGTGAACGCTGCAGAACTGGCATAGCTAAGATAATCCTGAATGCTGATCAGCTTATTACCTCATACAACATCAGAATAGTGATGCAGTGGATTCCTGGCCACTCCGGCACACCAGGTAATGACAGAGCTGACAGACTGGCAAAGAAAGGAGCAACACAAGAACAACCACCTACAGCGACAACCCTACGGACATCAAAAACACTTATAAGAGCTATAAACAAAGAGACTTGGTTGAACAGATGGGCCATGGGAGACACTGGAAGAGAGGTTTATAGACATATGGCTGGCCCTGATCCTAATGACAGCATTAACCATCTAACAAGAAGGGACCAGGCCACCATCTTCAGACTTGGAACACAACATTCTCCACTCAGTGGACATCTAAACAGAATACAGCCACAACACTTCCCAGAGTGCCAGCTATGTAAAATACCCTTACAAAACTGTTGAACACCATCTCTTTGAGTGCCCAAAACTCAGCGAGACTAGAAGAATGCTACTCCCTCCGAGACCAGACAAGTGGAACACCTTGTACGGAGGAAAAGAACAGCTTGTGAAAACATGCAAATTCCACTACATGGCATTGGGCCGAAGGGCGAAAGCTCATGCGCCACTGGATCGATAACAACAACAACCTTTCTCATCACATGACCAAAGAATGTAGATTGTCCCTTCTCTTCGTGAGTCAGTTTCTTTCAAGATGTTTTCATTACTCATTTTATCTGTCCAGAGTATTTTCATCATTCGTCTATAAAACTACATCTCTGCAGTTTCAAAATAATTTTTCACTAATTCACCAACTGTCCATGAATAATTTCCATAGTTACAGAGTAACGTCACCACAGCCCAGAATTAGGTGCAGGCAAAGCAGTTGAAACCTATCAGAGATTCGACCCCTTTCCCGTCGGCACACAGCCGAGGGTTCTATCAAAAACCACCACGTACTAGGTTTTTATATCGAGCTGGCAAATTACGCCGCTTAGGTAAAGTCACAAACAAAACGATTCTCACGGACGACGATGATATGCGCCAGCTGTCGGAGAATGTTTGGAATGTCACGTAGAACAAATTAGAGTGACAATTTTTCCAATAACACCTGCTAATTAATTTAGTACATTAAACTTTGGTGGGGAAGGAGCATTCTAGAGTAGTTAACCAATGAAATGTTTAGGAACAGATCATGTGATTTACCGCAGCTGGCAACATATTACCATCAGGAGCATGAGAAAGAGTCATTCTGCGGAAGTTGTACAGGCTGAGCGCTGACTACGAGTCCGGTAACACGGAAGCTGGAATCGACAAGACTGAAGTACGACAAGTGACAGGACCAGAGAATAGAAGTTCTAGTAGTTACATGAAGAGGATGGCCAACCACCATTCTAGCCTCTTACGGCACGCTTGATAAAAAAAAACGTACAGACGAACAGAGATGACTACAATACTTCATCGGTGGAGGGGCTTATCTACGTGTAGCTTTTAATCAATGTGCAGTGTTGTTAGTGAGAAGATTCTTTGGACCAGTAGGATTATTACAAGACGTATCTAAAGACGGGACGCGAGAACGTATGTTCTATGTGTTGTTTTTGTCGTGCCTGTCAAGATGTGCTTCAGCGCCCGCTTAGAGAAATAAACAGACGTTACTATTTTAATTCACGGCCTTTAACTCATTACAGTAGTGTGTAGCGAATGGATGGCCACAGAGAGGGTATGCAGCATAAGGTGACACAGCCTTCACAGCACTATACCATCACGTTCATGGTCGTAGACATAGTCGAGCGCAACATCTAAACCTGGGTGACTATCCAGGCAGGACACTGCCACACCATATATCAAAATAGGATTTATATAGGTTTTAAGAATTCTCTTTCTCGTGTCAACTGAGAAAGAAACATTGCATAAAATATTCTTAGTTTTGTAAAATGCTGCATTTGCTTGTGCTATTCTACATTTAACTTCTTTAATACCTTCCATCTGATGTTATCAGGGTACCCAAATACTGAAACAAATAACATGCTTCAGGTTTGTCCTATTTATGTTGAACTTGCAGTTTGGAGGGTCAGTTTTCTTTTTAATTACCATTAATTCTGTATTTCTGCTGTTCCAACTGAGACCCTTGTTTTCACTTTCCGTTAGGATTATATCCATAATTTCTTCCAGTTGTGTTTCATTTTCAGCGATCAAAACTATATCGTCAGCATATCACAGGTTGTTAACAACATGCCCACCAAGTGATATTCCTGGCAAACCATTTATGGATCTAATTATTATTTCACTGTATACATCCCTGTTTAACACCCCGTTTAATGTTTTGAAAAGTTCCAACCTGGTTGTTCCAACTCTCTTTATACATCTTGATATATTTTATAACAAAATTTTACAGAAGAAGTTAAGAAAGAAAAAACCAAAACAAATATGGCAAAACTGAAAATCACTTAATAATAAACATTTTTTTCATTTGCCAACTCCAGGCACAATGATATGTCTAATTTTGTTTTTATGATTATACCCGTGTGTGTTTCAAAGCCCTGTTATAGGGAAAACAAGAATAGACCCACTGTCTACCCAAAAGCAAATTGTAAGAGTCGACTAATGAGGAGCTTCCTTTGAAGTGGAGTGCATCTGTCTGAGAGGCAAGGAACCAAAAGTCTGCAAGCAAATTAGTCAGATCTGTCAAATGGATGCACACACAACACTTGGATTCTGGAACAGGATGAACAGGATTACACCCAGTGAATGCGAAAAAGAAGAAAAGTGAAGATTTGATGATTGATGTGAAAACAAAACCTGGTTTAAGACTGGCAACTTTTGATCTCTGATGTGATGCAGTTAGGCTATTAGTCTCAGGTTTCAAAGACAATGAATATGATTCTGGACTCTGTCCTTTGGTTTTCCAGTGCAAGTATTCAGAGTACCTTTGACTGCATTGCACACATACTTATACATAAATTACTGACTATGGGTATAATTTTGTCACATGTTTATATAAATCTCTCTGTGTGTGTATATATATATATATATATATATATATATATATATATATATATATATATATATATATATATATATATATATATATATATATATATATATATATATATATATATATATATATATATATATATATGAAGCCTTAATCCAAACTCTGGAAACAAATTGTTAAATCTCCTAGAGACTATAACTGATGTCACCTATTTCTACACTAGAGACTCTATAATCTACATAATCTGTTAAGTAAAGGACAGGTGTTATTTACCTCCTTTAGTAACCTCCAATTTTGATATCAGATGTTTCAATTCCTGAACCAGCTCCACAAATGCTGGACGTCTGTTTGGCTCCATCTGCCAGCATTTTGTCATGAGATTGTATGCCTCTTTACACCTAATTATGTCCCCAGGAAGTCGCCAATTGCTTTTGTACGCGGCCAGTAATTTCTCACCATCTGTGATTCCTAATGGTTTAAGAACCTTCTTTGGGAGGGTCCCTTCAGAGAAAGACTCCCACATAAGGATACCAAAAGACCAGACGTCTCCTTTGCTGGAAAAGATGTTCTCTGGGTCTGAGGGGTCTAGTACCAAACATTCTGGAGGCATCCTGTTGCAACATTGAAAAATATTAGTTTGGGAAAAAAATAACAAATGTAGAGCTTTAGGAGAGGGAGACACAAACAGTTTGTTATATTTTAAAATTTTTTTAAATTAGTATTTAAAAGCCAGGAGTTGTTAACCCTTAAGCTCGGTATTATGAATATCGCAACTCTTCGGCCTTGATTCCATAATAAATACCATAAATCTGGGAGAAATGTGGCTTTCCTGCCTACTCCGGGCATGAACCTGGACCACAAGAAGTTCATCACCCTGTCACTGCGCAGTCCGGTTTAGCCAACTACTTACAGAATGTTGCAAACTGACCACCATATTTGCTGGCTTTTGTGATTGTACTAGGCAATTTTACGTTCAGTAGTTTCCCACTCAAAAAGGAATATAAAGGCAGAACTAATTCAAAAAAAAAAAAAATCACCCACATACATAGGAAGTAAGATGACATTTACAGGGGACTCAGTACCAAAAATATCATAGAGAATCACACTAGCATCTAGTGCCTTTTATATATCTAGTACATTTAACAAACTGTTAAACATCTGGAAATCAAAGACACTCAGCAGTTTTACAAAACTTAAGATCTTTAACTCTTGTATTATTCCAGTGCTAACTTATTGATGCAAGAGTTGAAAAGCAACGGTAGCTCTAGAAAAACAAATTACACAGTCTTGAGAACAAATTTTCCCATTGCCTTCTAAACAGTCAATGCCAGACCCAATGTCGAAATCTTAGCAAAGCTGTCTGTGGCCAAATCCAGCTGCAGCTGAATTGTACATGTTATTGAAGAATTATAAAATAATATTTATAAATCCCTCAGCCTGCTGAGAGAACTATTCTCATTCAGGTGAATCCATAGGTGTGGAAAAGATACTAGATAGGGTACATACTGAGAAAACCAGATAACAACATATCTAGAATTTCTTTATATTGGAACCCACCTTCAAAAGAAATATATTCAGCAGAACTAAAAAAACACACACCCAGATACAAGCATAAGGAAAAAGGAATTACAGAGAGAAGTGAAAAAGATAGGGAGACATATAGTGAGATGAATGTGTACAGCAAAGAATGGGATGATACTGGCAGAAGAGAAGATGAAGTATGGAAAATATTCACTATTTAAATGAAGTAAATAAAGTACAGATCTGGATTGTACTAAATGTGTGAGGAAGAAAGAAGGTGGACTTTTAACCAGACTGCCACAGACACCATAAAAAAATACACTCTTGGTTACTGAAGAGACGGAGCACCTGTGGGATTAACCCTTTCGCTGCTATGGACGAGATAACTCGTCTGCCCGGTAGACTGCTATGGACGAGCTAACTAGTCTTCCCTTTTCTGTGCCCTCACTGCTAGAGACGAGCTAACTCGTCTTCGACTTTTCTTATAGATTGCTAAGAGCCGTAATTATTGGGAGGGAAATCGCAATATACATTACATAAATCTGATCAAACTGACACATTTACATACAATGAAAACATATATCACGTTTGTTTAGATGTATTTAGATGCATTTCACGTTATCCTGTTGCTTTGTTACCACAGAAGCATGGTCGGTGAACAGTAATTTTTTTTGCCCTGACAAATATTTTTTGTTTTGCGTAAGTCTACTTATGTTTTTTTAAAATACAAAATAACAAGAAAATGGGTAATTGAAGTTAATGAAGAATTAATGGAGTTTCTTTCCAGGAGCAATAGTAAGGATCACTTTGAAGCGTGTGAAATATGAGCTGGGTTATCTTCACGGCACGCTGGTGGACACCTGTACTTCTGGCCGTGGGGGCAAGACTGACCATATGACCCAGCTATCCACATCGACTGTATTTGAAATTAATCCCTAGTAATCAAAATGAAGATATAATCACGTTCTGACATGATAATTAATATTAATGTTAATGTTTCTAATATACTATACAACTGACATAAATGTGTCTGTCTATCAAAATGTACAATACAAAATAGAATAGTCCTGCGTTCAATCCCTACATGTCGTTTTTTTATTTTTTTTATTATTCTAAATGTAAGCTCTTAGCACTTTCGGCAACAGATCACTGAAGTAATAATTAATTAAACATCATGTCACTTGCGTTCAGGTGGATTTCGATGCGTTACACGTTATCTTGTTCCCTTGTGAAGCTTGGTTGGTGTACTGTGCATTTGTGGGGAGAAACACTCCTATTGCCGAATTTCACTTAATGTTAGTAAGAGAAATTCTACAGAAATATTGCAAGGAAAAGACACATACTTTCAGTAACCTGTGACATTTATGATCTTCCATGCCCTGATCCAGCACCTTCTCTCTCGGTGTCTACATCCTTTTCGTTCCAACTTACCCACTACCATGGCATACTTCAGTTTCTCCTTTTCATAACATGATCAAAGAATGTTGATTGCCTCTTTCTGATGTGTGAGTAATCATTTCTCTTCACGAGGTAATTTATTGCAAGACATCTTCATTACTCCATGGCATTTTCATCATTCATCCGTAAAGTCACATCATCCCTACTGCTTTCACATAATTCCCAACTAACTAGCTAACTTTCCAAGATTCATTATCATACATAATTTTTGGCTCTGTGTAGCTTTTAAGATCTCTTCTCCTTACAAAGATATATCACATAACATATTCTCATCCTATGAAAAGCAGCACTTGCTTGAGCTATTCTTCATTTAAATTCTGGAATAAATCTTCCATCTGCTGTTATCAGGGTACTCAAGTACCCAAGATATCAAGTTGTTTCAGGATTTTCCTATAAACTTTGATGTTGCACTCTGGGACAATCGGGAAAGGAAAAAAAGGGTAAAAAGATGGGGGGGGGGGGGGGGGGATTTGTCTGTGTAATTACTATTATTGCTGCTTTTCTGCTGTTCAAACTACCTTTGTTTTAATTTTCTATGTCTTTTTTTTCTTCTTTCGTTTGCTTTAAATAGATTATCCATAGCTGCAACGTTGTCTCTAGTAAGAACTTTACTGTCTATTGCAAATTCACTCTGTGACCAGTAAAGTTTGGCTTGCACTGGTGTTTCTCTTGGCCAAAAGTTTTGCCTTGATATGTTGTATTGGAAAAGTCTTGGAGGCTTTGATCTGTTGTCTCAGGTGCCAATCCACATATACACATGGCTGATTCGCCAATCTTAAATTTTGTGCACATGTGGCTATGAAGCCAGCTGTGTCCTGTTCTAAGGCATAGAATAATGACTTGCTCTGGTCCTTGTGCCGACTTGGTGGCTTTTTGATTAATTTGATTCTCTTCTTTTGTTGATAAGATACTGCTATGTCAGGTTGTTCTTCATTTGCACCTTCCTTAGCTAGTTAATCAGCTCTTTCCTTTACAGGAACTCCACAGTAGGATGGTATCCCCTGCATAGTTAACTTACACTGGTTGCCTAGTTTGGAGAGTAGTTTTTATATACCATGTAATTCTCTGTTATGTTGCAATTATGTCCATCCTCACTTGGAGTTCTGTTTAATTTTCAGGATTAAAAAAACAAAAACCATATCATCAGCATATCACAGATTGCTTACTTGATACCGATCAGCCACTATTCCTGGCATACCTTGTATGCATCTGATTGCTCGTTTCACTACACACATGAAATAAATCAGGTGATACAACACATCTCTGCCCAAGAGCTTGTTTAGTGTTTAGCACTGTTAGTACTGGAGCTCTAACATGGCTACTGAAATGGTGACAGTGCATATTTACGAATGTCCAGAATGCTAAATTGCCACAGTAGTGGTTAGATGCTTGTCTGCCTGCCTATCTGCCTGGCTGCTCTGCCCTTCAATCCATATCAGGATGCATTTTTATAACTGACCTATGGCTCCTAGGCCTAGACTGCCTAAAATGAGTATCAAAAAATGTTCAGGGAAGTAAAGGTGGCCAGGATGACAGCATGATGTTGGCCACATAGCCCACTGGGTGTTGATTGATGTATAAAATATGGGACCAGCTGTAGCAGCACCTAATAGGTCAATGGCACAAAAAGATGAATTACCTTGTGCTAAAATACTTTTTTTCTTTTTCAGAGTATTGTGATATTGATTCTTAATTTTCATGCAGTCATCATTATGTATCAGTAGACTGTCACCATCTCAACCGATCACCAAAATCATGGATTAGTTCAAAGTCATTTAGGTATTTACGTCTTTGCCTTCCTCTTGCTCTTTTTCCATCAATCTTGCCAGCTGCTACAAGTTCTCAAGTTCATTTCTTCTCATGACATGTCCGGAAAAAAAAACTGACTGTCTACGTCTACATTTTCTAATAAGTTTGTAACCTTTATCTGTTTTGCTAAAGACAGCTTTCTTTGTTTTTCAATCCTTCAATGACATTCTTTGCATTCTTCTCAGAAACCACATCTTTGCAGTGAGTAACCGTTTTTTAGCTTGTTTGCTTATTGTCCATGCTTCCCATGCGTACAACAACACAGGTTCTACATAACACTTCAACACTCTCCTTCTCACTGCAGTTGACATAGTACATTTCACAAACTTACCAAGGGAAAGGCAGCTCATCTTTGTTAACTCTATACAATTTGTAATTTCCTTCCAGTATTCTTGCCAGTCCGAAATCAGACACTTTTGCTCTTACGCCGCCACCTTCCACTTTAGTCAGTAACACATTACGTGCAGCAAGATCACGGTGAATGATATCTTTTCCAGAGAGATACACCATGCCCTACACAAAAAGAAAATATTAATGACTTCATGAATGTCACTAATTTTATACTGATATATTATTGAATGATGACTATAAATATTCTGTGAAAGTCTGCTCAGGACAAGGTAAAGTACACTAATTGGTGACCAGATAGTCAATTGCAATCATTGCCGGTCTTGTACAGGCAAACAGACTGACTGAGTGACATTACCACACATCCAGATTTCAGTAAAAGTTCAGCACACCACATCATCCATGATGTGCTAGCAAAGTGTCTGCAAGGTAGGTGCCATGGCAGCTTACTCCAGAATTGAAACAACAATTCACTGATGCTTGTCAAAAATGTTTGCGGTGCTTAGAAGCAGAGTGTGATAGTTGTCTATCAAACATTATTACTGGAGATGAAACGTCGGTTCATCAAAATGAGCTGAAAATTAAGAGAGCAAGCACAAGGAATGGCACCATCCCTCCTCACCGAAACCAAAAGAGTTTTCCACACAGCCATCTGCAGGGAAGGTTTTGCTGACTCTTTTATTTCAGAGGGCTACATGCCAAGAGGGAAAACTGTTACCAGCAATACTATATAGATATTCTCAGGAATCATCTTCGACCAACAATAAAATCTAAATTTCTGACTTCTGAGTAAAGGTGTCCTTTTGTAACATGACAAGCTCGACCCCATACTGTCTGTGCAAGGGCTGAAACCATAAAATACCTCCACTTTTAGTGTGCATAACATTCCCTGTACTCACTAGATCTATCACCAAGCGATTTTCACCTGTTTGGACAACTCAAAAAGTCACCAGAAGGAAAGACTTCAGTCCGATGAAGAGGTACAGCAGGTGGTGTATGAGTGGTTACACACAGAAGCTAGAGCATTTTTTTGCAACAGGAATTCAAGCATTTTACTGGCACTAGAGGACTTGCAATGAAAACAGTGGTTACTACACAAAAAAAATGACACATTTGTTCTTTACTTTTCCAGAATATATTCAGACCAAAAAAAAAAAAATTTCAGTTTGTCATCTGAAGCTCCATTGTACTCTGTGGCATAACAATTCAAACCTCCACTACCACTGGCCACACATGGTGAGTAATTACCACACACAGGGAAGCCATGTCTGATGCATACTTTCCACAAAGGCTGCAAAAATCTTCTCCAGGGCATCCACCTGAATGATGCCATTGTCAAAGACAGAAGTTTAACATGCTGAATAAGTAAGATAAAGAATTCCAGAGAAATTTGACTAAAAAGCTCAACAAAATGGGAAAGAGGAAAACGTGCACAAAACAACACAACATAACGTTTCGGTCGGGCAGCCTTTTTCAAACATAAGTGAACTATACAAATGAGGAATGGAGAGTATATTTATATATATATATATATAAAAGGAGAGAGACAGAGACCCGCACACACAGAGATAGAGGGAGTCAGAGAGAGAGAGAAAGAGAGACCAGACAGACAGAGAGCACAACACATCACTAATATCAAGTTAATTAGTTAGTTAGTTAGTTAGTTAGTTAGTTAGCTAGTTAGTTAGTTAGTTAGTTAGTTAGTTGGGTTATCACCACTGCACTCCGGACATGTCCATAGGTGCTCAGATCCTCCCCTCAGTATGAACCCCAACGTCCGATGGCTAAAAGTACCAGTTCTAAGTTGATTAACAAGTCTTCTGGTGTGTCTGGTGTGCGTCTCATTTTTTGCTATGCAGATTTTAATTCCGAAGTCTGCCATTCTGGCGAGTGATGTGGATTCACTGCCCCCAAAGTCCTCTATCCTTCCCATTTCTCTGAGGGCATTAATAATATCAGCATGATCCATCCGCTGACCGTCGGTAGTGATAGCGGATCCAGCCAACCTATCAGCTCTTTCATTTCCATCTACGCCTGAGTATACCGGAACAAAAATAAAGGTGACTCCACTCAGAGTGGACTTTTGTAATGATTCAAGCCATTGTCTTCGCACCGAACCTGCCTGAACCCCTGGATCATACTCATTGAATCACTGAATATACATACGCAGGTGTATCTAATATCAAATACATCACAAATCTACCTCTGCAACATCCAGCATAATTTTCAGCATGTGACACACTTTTTCTGGATTTGACAGCTCTCCATATTTCTTTGCATACTCAGAGAGGCTTCCTTTATTCATGTACTCCATGACCATCATCAACTGATCATATCCTGTCATTACAGAGTCACAGAGGAAACAGAAAGAAAAATATATGTGACAAATAGTTTGGTAGTGGGAAGCATTAAAATGTTTTCAATAGAGATAAACTTGTTTTTTTTTTTACATTAACTATTTTAATCCTAAAGAGCCATAATTTTAACTTGTTTTCCTAACTTTATCTGTAATAAGCAGGTGTTATGTTTCAAAAAGGAATGTCTTTGGTTTACCGTTTATGATTAAAATATACACATCCACATCTACTAGATATAAATGCCCTTCTCTGCCCGGGATAGTGAAGAAAAATGGTGTATATTTTCTGTGCAGAGAAGAGTGAAATTAAAAATAACTATCCCCTGGCCTGTTCCATCATCCCACACAATTTGACTGATGCAGTTACCTCCCCCTCAACTACCCATTATAGGAAAACCATGATCTATGAAACACTGACCACCACCACCCCACTTCCCTTCTGAGCCATAACTCAGGGTTACAATTCCCAAATATGACAATAGAAGATACCACCCCAGCACACTCAATGGGATGGTGGCGCCCACATGAGAAACACTGATCAAATCATGTAGACAATGTCACAGTTAGAGCTAGGAAACGTTTGACGGTGCGGGGGTGATGGCATACCCTAACATTGAACAAAGCCTTCTTTTCCTGCTCTGTCAGGGACTTGTGCTAAGTGTCATAGACTACAGTCTGGGCCTCCTCACTGTTAGCAGAACCCAGCTAGAAAGACTGGACCAGGTACAAAATAAGGCCATGAGACTCATAACTTATACTCAGCTGCACAAAAGAAACCTCATGCCACCCTATGTGGTATGTCCTGGGTTTACAGGAGGATATCAGCAGACATCAACCACCCACTGCAATCTGCTATCAATGATATAAAAGGGATGCCAAGGCAGAAATTATAATCAAGCAAGAATGTGACCTAGACAAAATCAGTCATCGAAAAGAATGGATGGGGACACCAGTAGACATGCATGACCTGTCTAAGGTTTTCAAAATAACGACCAGTGATAGAACCACAGTTGACAGAAGAACAGATGGGTCTCAGAAGAAAAAGAAAATAATAGTAAAATCAACGATTTACCCTTTCTTGACTGCAGATACAGCCATTAATTTACAACAACCTCTAACATACATGAATGAGGAATGCAAATCAAATAATATGAGAATGAACATCGAAAAGACAGAAGTAATGTAAACAGGGAGAAAGAAGCAGGATTTAAATATAGCATTAGAGCACACAAATATTAAACAGGCATCTGAGTTTAAATAACTTGGAACAATATTCACTGACGATGGTAAATTGGATGAATAAATTAACATTTGATGCAGTAAAGCAGGCCAAGTATTGAGACAGTTAGCTCCCCTCTTACAGCATAAGGCAATCTCAACCAGCACACAGAAACATCTCATACAAAGCATTTTCATTCCCACCCTGTGCTAACAGTGCCAGACATGGTCACTCACAACAAAACATACAGAAAAATAGTAACCATGGAAACGAGGTGTCTGAGAAAGGCTGTAGGAGTGACTAGAAGAGATAAAATCAGGAATGAGGTTATACGAGATAAAGTTGGCACAGAACCAATTCCAAATTACATACATAGACAACAAATCAAATAGTTCAATCACTTGGAGAGAATGCTTCTGATGCTATACCATACATGGCATGTACCAAAAGAGAAAAAGGACGAAGAGCAAGAGGTAGACTAAAAATAAGATGGGAAGATAACATCAGAGAAACTCTACAGCACTATTATGTGACTGGTGAAACGCATAGTTGCTGGAATCACCGAACAGTTGCGACAAAAATTTAACCTGTAACCGCCTGACGCTGGGTTATGTCGTCACGTGGGTGAAAGGTTAGAGGACACGTAGACTGCCCTGGGTTACGTGGCACTTTGCGTCGTTCTGCAAATTCATCAAGAAGCCTACGAGAAACAGATCAAATGGCTGTATGACATTTACGACGAAGAAGTTGTCCACTACGCGTCAACAATGACAGCGCGATACACAAGAAAGCCAAAAGCCACGAATAAATAAAAGGGCGAACAAAATATATCACGATCAACGAGTCAACTGAGACTTCCGGGTCGCCATCTATCACAGCATTGAGAAATATCTGTGAACAGCGCTGAGAAATTGTTATCTCCGTTTTTCAAGCCTCCAATTGTAATGAATGGTTTTGTATTTCTACTCGTTGTCTAGGCGGTGTTCATGCGTGTGTGGTGGATGATATTCTGACACGCTTCACGTTACACACCTGGCACAAGCCGACACAGATGTGAGCTTACGAGACATTACTTTATTGACGTATTAAAACTTACGACAAACAGAATCGGGTGAATGATGTGACTCCAATCCCCACATCAAGTGTGAAATTAATGAGAGAAAAACAACGGAATGAGAGCAAAGGAGTAAATGATGTGACTCCAAACCCCACATCCACTGTGGAAGAAATGAAAGATGGATGTTGGAATGAAAATAATAGCATGAATGACTTGAATGAAAGCATAGAGACTGAAAGTGTCCAGAACATAACAGAAAGTGAGAAAGTAAAAGGTATATATGAAAGAGTGGCAGTAATGACAAGTATGACTGCAGAACAAATGATGAGAAAAAGCAATGAGCAGACTGAAAGGAAGAAGGGTAATAGTGTGAAAGACAGGTATCCAAATCCCAAACCCAGTATGCAAGATCAAGTACAGAAAAAACACAGGAAAATGTATTTTAAAAAGAAAATACTGAGCATCAATAAGCAAAATCAAAGTCAAGAAATACACGACTGTAAAATTAACAGTTTTATTCAGGGTACTTGCAGTCAAAAGTCTTACAGGTTTTTGGAACCAGAAGAGGAAAAAAGAGCTAGAACAGTTTGCTGGGCAACCAAAGGTAATCCCCACCCAAGAGACCTAAGTCGAGCACAGCAAGACAACTGCTCACAGCGTTTGTTCCAGTACGTGTGGTTACTGCAACACATAATATTCATCATATGCCAATTTCTATTTGTAACAGGTGAAATGAATTTACAACTATTCTATACTTTCAACATGATTCATGATCTACAACTTTTAGGAATGATCTATCCTGTTCACAGAGGGTTTTTCATCTCGAAATTATATATCTCTACAGAAATTTGTCAAATTCTGAAATGTGTTACACTATTAGCATTAGTGCTTCTTAAATTAGTACTTTTCGATCAGGTCTATTTCAAACACTTTCCTCATTCTGAAACTTTGAATTGTTGAAACCAGTTTTAATTTGCCATGAATTTTAATCAGATGACTTGTTCGACTGTTGGTGAATGTGAATACCACCTTGCAGCATACATCTAGTACAAAAGTACTTATTACTGATGAATTACAGAATTGAGTAAAATCTATGTTGTAAAATAAATCATGTCAACATTTGGAAACAATATTTTAAAATATGTGATGCCAATCATCAAACTATTGCAGATATAAATGAATCTTGTACAGATGCAGACATTATTTTCCAGTTTTATATTGGTCACAGAAACTAACATCTACACAGCAAAAGTACAGCACATTTGAGAAAGAAGCATTAGCATTAGTTCTGAGTCTGAAGAAATTTCAAAAATACTTGTTAGGGAAAGAATTCACTATCTTAACTGACAATTTAGGTCTTACTTAATTGATGACCATGGAGTCAACAAATAACGCTAGAGTGTACAGATGGGCTCTATTGATTGCACAGTTTAAATTTAAAATACAGCACATCAAAGGCATCCATAATCACCTGCCTGATGTAATGTCAAGATTGTAAGTCTTATTCTAGTATGTATGAAATGTTATTGTTGATCGACACATATGATTTTTATATGTATGTATATATATTTTGTATAAATTGTATATATCATGTCATTGTGACGAATACTGGACATAGACATAGAGTGACGTGATGAAATAGTTTAGAATTAGATATGAATATTTATTAAATATAAAATGTAAACAATATTTCAAAATTGATAATGCAAAGTTGTGACGATGAAATATGCTATTTAATGTTTTGAATATATATCACTCAACAATTGAAATGTATACAGGAAATTTAAGTGATACATTGTAATATTTTTGAAAACGTAAAGGGAGATAATTATTAGAAATGTTATAAAGATTATTGGGAAATCACTATAGGTAGGGGAGATAAAATCCATATCACCTATAAGGGGAAATAAATGAATATCCAATGGAAATAACATCAGTGGATGTTCGGTGAGTATAGTGGCAAGGGTGGGACTTTACGGGTTTACATTATTGTTCCATAGCCGTTATGGATTTCCGCACTTGGAAGAGTAGTGCCTGGGGTGATTTTCTGTCGGTTGACAGACTGTGGGATGAGGTGGGAAACGCGTAGAGCCTTTATGGTCTTCCGCAATTGAAAGAGTATTGCCTGGGGTGTTGATTCCATTACGCCACATAATGCTCACTGGGCATGACAACTGATAAAAGTTCCAAAGGGAAAACATGAATTACCCAAAAGGGGTGGAATAAATTTTTTACCCATGATACCAGTGAAAATACCCAAGCATTACATAAAATATACTCCTATCCATTAACGATAATGAGGAAAAAAAAAAGTAAACTTTTTTTTTATACGGGAAAGGGAGAATGTAATGGGGGATATTTTCCACTCAGTTTAGGATGGTTGGAGGGAAGGCCCAAAGCTGACCGAAAACACCGAGATAGTCCAGATACTTGGATTAAACGAGAATCTGGAGATAGGTGACTAACCACTAGTTATCACGGGGACCACGGTGATGCGACCCAAGGTCGCCACGGGAAAAGTAAAGGACCACCACGTGTTGTCACGTGAAAGGAACCCGTGGTATAAGTCAGACTTGACTCTGGTCAAGTTTAGTTTGTGTCGACCTGTTGGAGCGAGAGGACGAGCGTCTGAATGTGCGAATGTCTACATGAGTGCCTGAGGAGAAAGGAGACCTGCCGACGAAATGTTAAGCTGAGATCGACCATGCCAGCGTGTGAGATGTCCAAACGTCAGTGTTGAATCCATGGGACCCATCGTTGCTTGAATGCCTGCAGAAGACTGTTTGTTAAAGGCTGTGTGAGTTTGTGTACGAAAGCGGTTCAATTAGACATCGACTGGACGATTCTGTTTGTCGTAAGTTTTAATACGTCAATAAAGTAATGTCTCGTAAGCTCACATCGGTGTCGGCTTGTGCCAAGTGTGTAACGTGAAGCGTGTCAGAATATCATCCACCACACACGCATGAACACCGCCTAGACAACGAGTAGAAATACAAACCCATTCATTACACCTAGCAAGTGGCCCTCAGAGGCCTAGCAAGTGGCCCACGAGGACCTAGCAGGTGGCTCACGGAGGCCTAGCAATTGGCTCATGAGACCTAGCAAGTGGCCCACGTAGGCCTAGCAAGTGGCCCATGTAGGCCTAGCAGGTGGCTCACGGAGGCCTAGCAATTGGCTCATGGATGCCTAGCAAGTGGCCCACAGAGGCCTAGCAAGTGGCCCACTGTAGAAATGAGAGAGCTGATAAACTGGCTAATAAAGGTGCAACTGAAGAACAACCTGACGTACAAGTAACAAAAGAAGAGAATAATAAAATCAAACAGGAAGCCACCAGAACTGGCACAAGATGATTAACATATTATGGACAGACCAGAGCAAGTCATTATTATACATTTTAGAACAGAACACATTCAACTTTGTGGCCACGTGTACACACAATTTAAGATTAGCGAAACAGAGATGTGACTCGTGAGTCCAGCCATGTGACTCGTGAGTCCAGCCATGTGACTCGTGAGTCCAGCCATGTGACTCGTGAGTCCAGCCATGTGACTCGTGTGTCCAGCCATGTGACTCGTGTGTCCAGCCATGTGACTCGTGTGTCCAGCCATGTGACTCGTGTGTCCAGCCATGTGACTCGTGTGCCCAGCCATGTGACTCGTGAGTCCAGCCATGTGACTCGTGAGTCCAGCCATGTGACTCGTGAGTCCAGCCATGTGACTCGTGAGTCCAGCCATGTGACTCGTGTGCCCAGCCATGTGACTCGTGTGTCCAGCCATGTGACTCGTGTGCCCAGCCATGTGACTCGTGTGCCCAGCCATGTGACTCGTGTGCCCAGCCATGTGACTCATGTGCCCAGCCATGTGACTCGTGTGCCCAGCCATGTGACTCGTGTGCCCAGCCATGTGACTCGTGTGTCCAGCCATGTGACTCGTGTGCCCAGCCATGTGACTCGTGTGTCCAGCCATGTGACTCGTGTGTCCAGCCATGTGACTCGTGTGTCCAGCCATGTGACTCGTGTGTCCAGCCATGTGCCTCGTGTGCCCAGCCATGTGACTCGTGTGTCCAGCCATGTGACTCGTGTGTCCAGCCATGTGACTCGTGTGTCCAGCCATGTGACTCGTGAGTCCAGCCCTCCCAGAAGTGCTACTATCTGTTTGTGCCTGCCATACTCCTCTGTAATGTGTTCTATTGTTTAACATTACCATTTTTTATTTACATTGTTAGTTGCATATCCTTTACAGGACATTGCAGAACCAACCCTAACAGCCCCTGGCTGTTGTGTGGTTTCTCTAGGCAATTTACATCCTGTAGTTTGCCACTGCTTTCTGGACGGTTGGCTTTCTTGATACCACCGTCGAAACCAACACAAGGCGCGTAGCCCGCAGCTGGGATCGAACCTGGCATCCCGGCACTACGAAGTGAAGCGTTCACATCGACTTAGCCACAGAGCCGACATTTTTTATTTACTGTTTATATATATATATATATATATATATATATATATATATATATATATATATATATATATATATATATATATATATATATATATATATATATATATATATATATATATATATATATGTATGTATATATATATATATATATATATATATATATATATATATATATATATATATATATATATATATATATATATATATATATATATATATATATATATATATATATATATATATATATATATATATATATATATATATAATTTTTATTTAATTCTTGTTTGACTTTATCTCTCATGCTTTACAGCCACCCGTTTCCCTTTTCACATTAACGTAGAAGCTTCAGGATACGTCAGTTCAGTGATTTTGTGTATTCGTGTGGTTTTATTTCATTCATGTATGTGCTGATGAAGGCTCTGTAGCCTCAATGTTCACTTTTCATTTGTGTTTGTTATATTGTGAAGCCTACTGATCTACTTTTTGTTCGTTTTGAAATCTTTTCATGCGCACAGGTGGCTGGCACCTTAGGCAACCAATCACATCCGCCAAGACTGTTCCAAATAAAACATTTCCGTTGACAATTTCTGGCCAAGAGAAACCCTGGTGCACGCCAAACTTTACGGGTCACTGTGTGAATTACAAAAGACATTGAAGTTCACAGTACAGATAGAGATAATCTGTTTCAAGCGAACTGCGGAAGAAGTAGAAGAAGAAGGTGGCATTTGCGATAAAACAGGTTTACCTGCCAGATTCATCATCATCATCCGTTGTGTGCTGTTAGATGTCACATAGGGCTCACGTTCAATTTCTCCTTACTGCATGCAACTATCTCATTTTCTGACAATTCAGCCTAGCATTTCTTGCCTCTCGTAATAATATTCTTCTTAATGTTTCCGTTGGACCTCCTCTTTTTTTTCTTTCTTTCTCTCAGACCATTTGTTTCCTATTTCAGTGCCTGCTTTGTAATTCTTTGCTCATTTCATCTAAGAGTGTGCCTAGACTATCTTCACCTTCTTTGTCTTATTGCATTCGATACAGGTATTTGTCCAGACATTTCGCTGGTTTCCTTACTCTTTTTGAATTCATCTACTAGATTAGGCAGGCTAAATGCCTAGGAAATGTATATTTATTGAGTAATCAATGGGTTGCTTTGGTGAAGTGGTCAAGTCGTTTGCCTCGTCTCTGAAGATTGTGGCTTCATTTGACAGCAGTGCCCTTTGGTTCACGAGTGCAATTTTTATGGAGATCCCTCACGACAGTCGCTGGAGCTACAGAATTCATGCTCTGCACTGCCCTATCGGCAGGGGGCTAGAGAGACTGAGCCATATGGGATAGAATCTGGTGCAACAAAGTCAATCCTCTCAACTTTAACTTTAACATCTATAGTAAGCTCTTTGGTATATAAAGAGTTAACCATGGCTAATAGAACAGTTGCTCACCTTTAAGATAAGCACCGTCAGTAAGATAAAGCAATTTTACAACGTTTGGATGATCGAGTTCACAAGCCACCTTGATCTCTTGGTACACCATTTTACGATTCAATTGGCAGACACTGTCAGTTTTAATCAGCTTGACAGCAACTGGAGTTGTGGGGACTAAACTGCCATTTGTATTCTGGAAACATTTTTCTGGGTGGCGCAGGTGGCCTTCGTAAACAGCACCGTAATGGCCCTGTAAAAAAAAAAAAAATATGTATTTTACAATGCACATGGTTTGGAAATTATTCAATTATATTAATAAAATAAAATTATAATAATTTAAAAATAAAACAAGGTTTAAATTAGGTATTGACCTCACAGCACAGGTTTCTCTTTCTTCGTATTCACCGGTTGTAAAGTCACACTCAAAGTTCTGGCCGTGCAACCACTTCGGGACTTTAGTCCTGTTCCAGAACTTGAGTTTCACATGAACATCCATTTACAAATCTGGCTTTTTTGTATGCAAACTGTTGATTCCTTGCCTCTCATGCAGATGTACTCTTGACTTTGAAAGAAAAACCCCTAATTAGTTGTCTTTTACAGCATGCTGGGAGCAGTGAGGCTATCCCCCCACCCTACCGGAGCCAGAATCCAGGGAGGATTTGCACTGTTTTTATTTCATTAAGTATAAATTACTTTTACCACTATTTTTCTAGGTTTCCTTTATTTTATTTTAATTTCCTTTCACATCACTCCTTTTTATATATTTTCTCACATGACCTTTTGGTTGTTGGAGTACTGCCCCCTTTGTTATTGTTGTGTAGTTTAGTTCATGTTGAGAAAGGCCCCGGCCAAAATGTCAATATTTGTTTTGTGTTGTGCACATTGTTCTGTCTCCCCATTTCATGAATCACAGTTCACTAGAATAATTTCACAACTTGAAATAGATAATCACCAACTTATCATTTACTTCACAAATGTACCACATCTTGAACAGATAATCACTAACTTATCATTTACTTCACAAATGTACCACATCTTGAACAGATAATCACTAACTTATCATTTACTTCACAAATGTACTACATCTTGAAATAGATAATCACTAACTTATCATTTACTTCACAAATGTACCACATCTTGAACAGATAATCACTAACTTATCATTTACTTCACAAATGTACCACATCTTGAACAGATAATCACCAACTTATCATTTACTTCACAAATGTACCACATCTTGAACAGATAATCACCAACTTATCATTTACTTCACAAATGTACCACATCTTGAACAGATAATCACCAACCTATCATTTACTTCACAAATGTACCACATCTTGAAATAGATAATCACCAACTTATCATTTACTTCACAAATGTACCACATCTTGAACAGATAATCACCAACTTATCATTTACTTCACAAATGTACCACATCTTGAAATAGATAATCACTAACTTATCATTTACTTCACAAATGTACCACATCTTGAACAGATAATCACCAACTTATCATTTACTTCACAAATGTACCACATCCTGAACAGATAATCACCAACTTATCATTTACTTCACAAATGTACCACATCTTGAACAGATAATCACCAACTTATCATTTACTTCACAAATGTACCACATCTTGAACAGATAATCACTAACTTATCATTTACTTCACAAATGTACCACATCTTGAAATAGATAATCACTAACTTATCATTTACTTCACAAATGTACCACATCTTGAACAGATAATCACTAACTTATCATTTACTTCACAAATGTACCACATCTTGAACAGATAATCACTAACTTATCATTTACTTCACAAATGTACCACATCTTGAAATAGATAATCACTAACTTATCATTTACTTCACAAATGTACCACATCTTGAACAGATAATCATTAACTTATCATTTACTTCACAAATGTACCACATCTTGAACAGATAATCACTAACTTATCATTTACTTCACAAATGTACCACATCTTGAACAGATAATCACCAACTTATCATTTACTTCACAAATGTACCACATCTTGAACAGATAATCACCAACTTATCATTTACTTCACAAATGTACCACATCTTGAACAGATAATCACCAACTTATCATTTACTTCACAAATGTACCACATCTTGAACAGATAATCACTAACTTATCATTTACTTCACAAATGTACCACATCTTGAACAGATAATCACTAACTTATCATTTACTTCACAAATGTACCACATCTTGAACAGATAATCACTAACTTATCATTTACTTCACAAATGTACCACATCTTGAAATAGATAATCACTAACTTATCATTTACTTCACAAATGTACCACATCTTGAACAGATAATCATTAACTTATCATTTACTTCACAAATGTACCACATCTTGAACAGATAATCACTAACTTATCATTTACTTCACAAATGTACCACATCTTGAACAGATAATCACCAACTTATCATTTACTTCACAAATGTACCACATCTTGAACAGATAATCACCAACTTATCATTTACTTCACAAATGTACCACATCTTGAACAGATAATCACCAACTTATCATTTACTTCACAAATGTACCACATCTTGAACAGATAATCACTAACTTATCATTTACTTCACAAATGTACCACATCTTGAACAGATAATCACTAACTTATCATTTACTTCACACATGTACCACATCTTGAACAGATAATCACCAACTTATCATTTACTTCACAAATGTACCACATCTTGAACAGATAATCACTAACTTATAATTTACTTCACAAATGTACTACAACTTGAACAGATAATCACTAACTTATAATTTACTTCACAAATGTACTACATCTTGAACAGATAATCACCAACTTATCATTTACTTCACAAATGTACTACAACTTGAACAGATAATCACCAACTTATAATTTACTTCACAAATGTACTACATCTTGAACAGATAATCACTAACTTATAATTTACTTAACAAATGTACTACAACTTGATCAGATAATCACTAACTTATCATTTACTTCACAAATGTACCACATCTTGAACAGATAATCACTAACTTATCATTTACTTAACAAATGTACTACAACTTGATCAGATAATCACTAACTTATCATTTACTTCACAAATGTACCACATCTTGATCAGATAATCACTAACTTATCATTTACTTCACAAATGTACCACATCTTGAACAGATAATCACTAACTTATCATTTACTTCACAAATGTACCACATCTTGAACAGATAATCACTAACTTATCATTTACTTCACAAATGTACCACATCTTGAACAGATAATCACTAACTTATCATTTACTTCACAAATGTACCACATCTTGAACAGATAATCACTAACTTATAATTTACTTAACAAATGTACTACAACTTGATCAGATAATCACCAACTTATCATTTACTTCACAAATGTACCACATCTTGAACAGATAATCACTAACTTATCATTTACTTCACAAATGTACCACATCTTGAACAGATAATCACTAACTTATCATTTACTTCACAAATGTACCACATCTTGAACAGATAATCACTAACTTATAATTTACTTAACAAATGTACCACAACTTGATCAGATAATCACCAACTTATCATTTACTTCACAAATGTACCACATCTTGAACAGATAATCACCAACTTATCATTTACTTCACAAATGTACCACATCTTGAACAGATAATCACTAACTTATCATTTACTTCACAAATGTACCACATCTTGAACAGATAATCACTAACTTATCATTTACTTCACAAATGTACCACATCTTGAACAGATAATCACTAACTTATCATTTACTTCACAAATGTACCACATCTTGAACAGATAATCACTAACTTATCATTTACTTCACAAATGTACCACAACTTGAACAGATAATCACTAACTTATAATTTACTTCACAAATGTACCACATCTTGAACAGATAATCACTAACTTATAATTTACTTCACAAATGTACCACATCTTGAACAGATAATCACTAACTTATCATTTACTTCACAAATGTACCACAACTTGAACAGATAATCACTAACTTATAATTTACTTCATAAATGTACCACATCTTGAACATTTAATCACTAACTTATAATTTACTTCACAAATGTACCACATCTTGAACATATAATCACCAACATATAATTTAGTTTACAAATGTACCACATAATGAACAGATAATCACTAACTTATAATTTACTTCATAAATGTACCACATCTTCAACATATAATCACTAACTCACAAATGTACCACATCTTGAACAGATAATCACTAACTTATAATTTAATTCACAAATGTACCACATTTTGAACAGATAATCACTAACTTATAAATTACTTCACAAAAGTACCACATCTTGAACAGACCATAACTTACAGATCCAAGCCTTTTGTAGCTGAATGTAAGGCAGTCTTTAGGTAAATAACGCTTGCCTAAGAAAGACTTCAACCTTTTGTCAATTTCTGCAACTGTCAACCTCTTATTATCATCTATAAATACAGAAAGATCAGAAAAAAATATTATTAGTCCCATCAAACTACAACAATTAAATCAGACATTCCTTGTGTTGATTCCTGAGCTCCATTTTGGGGAGACAAAGAAATAGACACAGTGGTCCTCCCCCCCCTGATGTAGATTCAAACTCAAGACCTCTAGTTACCACCCTACTGCAACTCCACATCATGTAAGGAGTGACTAATGAATTCACGGTGAGTTCCCTAGTTGAGTTAGAGCATTAGTTAAGGAACATTACTGATATATTGTACATTTCAACATACAGTTCCCTAGTTGAGTTAGAGCATTAGTTAAGGAACATTACTGATATATTGTACATTTCAACACACAGCATAGGGGAGAGAAACAAGACAGTTGAGAATTTTATGGAATTTTCCATAGAAAACAATCTCGCCCAAGAAGACTCTTTACATCGACATCACCTGATGGGAACTATAAAAATCGAACTGATTGCATCATGATACAACACATATGGAGGTCTTGTATAGCTTCTGCAAAAACACTATCTGTCGCAGGCTGCGACACAGACCATAAGTTGCTTGTGACGAATTTCAAGTTGAAACTGAAGAAAGTTACACAAGGAGTACATCCAATCTGTTTTGATGTAAATCTCGTATCATCTGAGCACAGTCCAGAAGTGAAAAAAAGGTCTGAAACATTGCTGGCAGTTCAAGACGAGATGTCACCTGATTATCTAGCCAGTCAGGCAAAAGACAAACTTATTGAACAGCACACAATATGATTCCTAGAAAAGGTTATGAGAAACATAATTATTTTACTGAGGAAACTCTAAGGTTAATGAAAGGAAGAAGAAAAATAAAGCAAAAACTAACAGAAGCTAACAACACTATAAAAGACACATGAAGAAAGTGAGAAGGGCAATAAAAAAACTATATATAATAAAGTTATGTAACAAAAAAGAGCATCGCCAGCAACAGATTAGGGACGACACAGTTCTCCTTTCCAACACTGGTACAATGCTCAGAGAAATTTACTTTGACTAACAAAAAGCACAACGAAGAACATAATTTATTCTGAATAAGAAAAAACCCAAAACAATGCTTACAATGAATACAACAACTCAACCACAATTTAAGATCAACAACAAAGAGATTGAAAATATCACAGATTTTGAATATTTAGGCTCAGTAATGGACAGATTTCCGAACCAATACACAAATAAGACAAGAATCCAGGCAAGAGTATGTGTCTAAATTTATACGAAAACGCCGCTGGAACTATGTCCACGCTCTTAGAATGGATAAATCAAGACTTCCTTACCAAGCCCTCATTTGGACACCACAGGGGGAAAAGATCTTGTGGAAGACCAAGGGAAACCCTACGTAGAAATATCATCAGGGAAGGCTCACTCATGGGCCACTCAAACATCCAAGACCTACAACAAATTGCAACGAACCGCCATGCATGGAGAGTCATGACCTCTGCCCTATGTGCCGCACTCGACACAAGAGGAAAGACTAACTAACTAACTAACTAACTAACTAATGGACAACAACAGCAAATGTACAAAAGAAGTCAGAAAAGACATGTTTCAGCAATAAATAAAAAAGTAAAAAAGTAAAGGACCCTTTCCACGCCTTTAGGCGTATAGGGCTAGACCTATATTTTTATAGACCAACGGCACAAGATGGGTGATGTGGTCAGCATCATGCCAGCCTCCTCTACTTCCCTGTACCCACTCAAGGCTGGGTCGACCTGGGAGCCAGGGTCATTTTTTAAGAAAAGTCCGGCTCCGCCAGGGAGCGAACCCACGACCTTCCAATCCGTGGCGCACATCTAGCCGCTCTGCCACGGTGACTCCCTGCTTTAGCAATGCAGAGGCTAATCAGCATGCAGAACCTATGGCACAGCACCTTCAAGCAAGTTAAAGTGAACATTGTGAGATCATGCATCTTCCTGTGGTAACTTACGGTTGTGAGTCGTGGACTCTCAGTCTTGGAAAAAGAAAGTTTTAGCTTCTGAAGTGAAATGCTACAGAAAGGTTCTCAGAATACCATGCAGAAAGAGGGAAAAAAACGTAGACATCCTGCGTGACCTGAACATCAAGGAGAACTGGCTCGTAATTAGCATCTTCTCCCGAAAGCTGAGGTATTTTAGACATGTCAAGCTCAGTGATGGTCTAGCGAAAATGGTGATGGCGGGTGCAGTTTCTAGAAAATGAGGCAGATGCCGACCTTCACGAATGTGGATAGAGGACACTGAAGATGCCTTGGCCATGACAGCACACAAAACTGGAGATCTGGCCACAGAAAGAGAAACCTTCAAGCATGCTGTGAAGAGAGTGATGTGTAAAGGACATGCTGACTGATGATGATGATGATATTTAAAAAGCAAGCTGATATGTTTAAGAACCAGGGTACCCTGATAAAATCAGATGGAAGATGTATTAAAGAAGTTAAACACAGAATAGGTTAAGCAATGGCAGCATTTTTCAAAATGAAGAAAATTCAATGCAAGCTCTCTTTGTCAACTAAGATGAGAAAGAGAAGGTTTAAGATCTATAAATCCTATCCTGATATAGAGAAGTCTTTACAAAGTTGTTGTTTGAGTTGAGTCAAGAATTTACATCGCAGCACTCGGTGCATTCCCATGCATGCTGTCCTCATCTTCAGCAGCCAGCGCAGAGTTCCAATAATGATGGTACCGGTCACAATCTGGTTATATGTCCGTCTTGCCTTTCCTCTGAGTGTAGTGACCCTCTGGTTACACCTAGGTGCCTCATTCTCTCCAGGCCATAATAATCTGTTATCTCTACTGATTTCACTGCTTGTTCCTAAAGGGCCTTGACCACATCTGCCTTGTCACGTATTCAAAGTTGTATGTAGAGTGGGCAGGTCTGCAGAATGTGCTCATGTGTTTGTGGTCCTGTTTGACAGGCACACTGTGGGAACTGTACAATCTTTATTTTAAGTATGTGGTAGTTGAGCCTGCAGTCCTGTTTGAAGAAGGAACATTGTTGTTTGTTGCTTTCTATTGAGTCTGCTGATGGGGTCTTGTGGATCTTTATTGTTAGTTAGTTATCTCCACAATTCCTTGTGTTTTTCTTTGATAAGTGTTGTGATTTCTGGTAATAACAGTGGATGTTATGTTATGTTATCACAATCGACGTCTCTGCGCATTGGGCATCCCCATGCGTGCTTAGTCCTCTGATGCAGTAGCCACTTCAAATGCTATTATGCTATTTTCAATTTTTCTTTCCTCAATCACTTTGGCTGAATCAATAATTGCTTGCAGCTCTGCTCTGAAGCTTGTTGAGAGTCTTACGGAGGTCCATGACATTTCTATTGTGGTTCCATCTTGCAGCTTGATGTCGGATCCAGGTCCTCTGCTTTTGTTTCCCTGCTCCCTCCAATGATCCATCGGTGTATACGTGTGACCATTCTGGTTTTAGAGAACAGTTGTAGACATGCTCCAACTACCGTACCATCACATTAATAAGTCATGATAGCAAAATCCTCTTACGAATTATCATGAAAAGGACTGAAAAGAAATAATATGAGCTAGATGAAGCACAAGCGGGTTTCAGACATGGTAGAGGAACTAGGGATCACATCTTTAATATGAGAATAATTTTTGAAAAATGCAGAGAATACAATGTAGATCTTCATCCCTGTTTTATTGATTATAGCAAGGCATTTGATTGTGTCTAGCAGCACAAACTGTGGACTATTATGAAAAGTATGGGGTTTCCAGCGCATTTAGTGCATTTAATTGAAAATCTTTATCAAGAACAACAAGCAGCCATCAGAGAAGCTGGTGAAACATCTGATTGGTTCGAGGTGCAAAAGGGGGTGAGGCAGGGGTGCATCCTTTCATCATACCTATTCAATATAAATACAGAAAAGATAATGAGAAATGTCAAAAATGACCAGACTTGTGACAGTTATGATCCGCTCAAAATTGGTGGCAACCCTATTCCGGAACTCCGCTACGCAGATGACACAGTCCTCCTTTCGAACAGCGTAAAGGGCATAGACAATTTAATAATGTCTGTCCAAAAGCACAGTGAAGATCAAAATCTGTTCTTGAATTGAAAGAAAACGAAAATTATGTCAACAGATAAAACTGGCTGTCACCCAAAAATAACAATAAATGATGAAGAAATTGAAAATGTCACAAACTTTGAATATCTAGGCTCTATAATAAACAACAATGGAGACTGTTCAACTGAAATTAAAAGGGGGATGGCCATAGCTATGCAAAGATTGAACAGTCTTAAAAGTCTATGGTTAAGCACCAGCAAGGAGATAAAAATTAGAATTTTGAGAGCATGCATCTTCCCTGTAGCTACATACGGATGTGAGTCGTAGACTATCTCTCAGTCCTTAAGAAAGAGAATAGGGGCTTTTGAGCTGAAATGCTATAGAAATTCTGAGATATTCTATCTTGGACAAAAAAGAGGAGAAATATTGACATCTTAAAAGATCTGAACATTAAGGAAGATTGGCTAATAAACAGCATCCTTTCTCGGAAGCTGAAATATTTTAGTCATATCAAGCGCCACGACGGATTGGAAAAAATTATAGCAGAAGGCATGGTACCAGGAACGAGGGGCAGGGGCCGACCGACACGAAGATGGGCACAGGATATAAGTGACTCCTTGGGTATGAAAGTACATGAGGCAGGAGAACTGGCGAGAGAACGAGTTTCTTTCACGCAGACTGTGATGAGAGCGACGTTCTGCAAAGGACCTGCTACATGTTGATGATGATGATGTAGACATGTTCAAGGGTCTTTGCATGCAGTACTAGGTCACATTCTTCAGCCTTTCTGTCTATGCTTGGAATTGTTGTTGTGACTGTATAGTTAGGTTGTAGGTCTATGCTGTATGCCTGGATCATTTCCCATGTTAAGGATCTTTAGAAAGGATGTCACTTTTTTGGGTTTACTGCAGTTTTAATAGATGGTGAAAAGCTTTGTCTTTTTAGTCGCTCTTTAGTTAAGTTATTTGCTATTCTGTGCATGGGGTTGTTGTTCAAGCGTTTACATTTTTCTGTTAGGGTAAATACCTTTTCCTCCCTAAGAAAGGCTCAAGCTCTGGAGGCCAAAAGTTGCCTCCAGCTTATGGATTGGTGTGCTTCTCATACCTCCATTGGTGATTTTGAGACCTTGTTTTGTATTTTGTCCAGTTTGTGTAGGTCTGATTTGGCTGCAGAGGAGTATGCTCCCATGCCAAACTCTAGCTCTGGTCGTACGTATCCCATGTATTCTTGTCATTCAGTGTTGTCATCTGCACCCCAGCTTGTTCCATTAAATTTTTGTATAAGTCTGAGCCTTAGGGTAGCTTTCCTTTGGGTATCTTCAATGTGGGGGCCCCAAGTTAGCCTTTTGTCGAATTTTACTCCCAAATATGTGGGGTTATCCTCTTTTGGAAGGATGTTGCCTTCTAGGTATAGACCAATTTGTTCTGGCTTTGTGGAAAGAGAGTTTAGATGATCTTTGTCTAGTTTACTGTGACTCCCCAAGAGCCTGTCCACTTCCTAACTGTATTTATAGCTTCCTGCATGCTTGTTTTAGTTGTTCCTGTAAGTTCAGCTTGGGTCCATATGGCCAGGTCATCTGCATGTAGGGCCTTGTGAATGTGAGTCGCGAACTGTTTTGGGAGGTCACTGATGAAAAGAATAAACAGGGTAGAAGATATAACACCTCCCTGGGAGACACCTTCTTGTAACCTGACCAGCTTGCTATTGTGTTCTTCCAGTCTGACTCTCCCACAGCATCTATAAAGAAAGTCTTTAATCCAGGCAAACATATCCCCTTTTATCCCAATGTGTGCTAGTTTTAGCAAGAGTCCTTTCTTCCAGACCTTATCAAAGGCTTTGATCAGGCTGAAGAAAGTAGCTAGCAGTTTGTATTTTTTTCTGGAAAGCGTCTTCAGTTTCCTGTGTGAGATAGGAGGTTTGGTCATCAGTGCTTCTGTATCTCCTGAAAAATAACTGTTTGTCATCCAATACCTCGGTTTTTTTTTTTTGGGGGGGGGGGGGGGGGGGGGGGGGGATGGGAAGAAACCTGTTTTTCACTAATCTTTCCATGGTCTTTCCAAAGCAGCTTAGGAGGCTTATGGGGCAGTAACTGAATTTGTTTTCCTTGGGCTTTCCTTTCTTGGCTATGGGGACTATTTCTGCCTCCTTCCATTCCTTGGGAAGTATTCCCTGGGCCCAGGATTGGTTTATAAGGTCTAAGAGTCGTTGCCTAGCAGCTGGTCCCAAGTTTACTATCATTTCGTTTGTTTTTCGATCAGGTCCAGGTGCCTTTCTTTTCTTAAGGTTTCTTAATGTGCATTCAAGTTCTTAGGGACTAAAGAGTTTATTCATTATATCTTGGTTATCTTCTTGCTTCTTATTTATTCTCCTCAGTTCTCTCGTCACTTCTTCTTCTCCTGTTCTAGACATGAAGATTTTGCTTTCCTCTGCAAAACAATCAGCCATCAGGTTTGCTGCTTGTTTACCAAAGAAATGTCATCTTTAATGACAGTGTTGGCATGGCTGGTATTATTCTCCTCATTTACTTTTTACTGTATGCCACAGAGTTACACCATCTTTCTCTATGCTGAGAGTTGCATTCTTTTCCTGCCATCTTGTATGGATGCATGTGAGTTTTTCTCTTCTATAAATAGCCTGATGTTTATTGTGTTCTGTTATATTCAGGTCACAGGGATCTTATTCCATTTTTACTCTTGCTTCAGTGCTTCTTTGGTGTAGTTGTTGCGGTTCTTGGGTCCAGAAGGGTTCATAGTTTTGCCTTCGACCTTGGGAGGATTGATTTTTTATACTGCTTTGAGTATGATACTGGTAAGAGTTGTGGTATTTTTTCTAACCTCATTAGCTGAAAAGGGCTTCGATAGCTTCTTTTCAGTTAAATTTTTTGTATAGGTCGCAGTCTGCTTTCTTGCATTTCCAGCTGGCTATCTTCTTTCTGTTTTCTGGAGGCTTGACCTCTCCTATCATGACAATGACTGGTTTGTGGTCACTTCCTCCCAACCATTTCATCACTTCTCTGTCTGCCCTTCATTGGATGTTTCTTATAGCTAAAGCTAATTCTGGTGTACTTTGTGTTCGCCTTCGTCTAGAGTAGAAGGCTGGTTCAGTCAGGTTCATTAATTAGTATCAGCAGGTTTTCTACCATCCATTCCTCTACCTCTTCTCCTCTTATGTCCATGGAAGCATAGCCCCAACTAGGGGAATGACTGTTAAAGTCACCTTGAATTAGGTGGCTCTTATCAGCTACTGGGATGTCCTCTAGTTCCAGTTTCTTGTTGGGACAGTAAAAGTTAATAACGTACAGCGGCTCTGGAAGGATTTCCAGCAGAAGTTTTACAGTCAGATGTTCAGACTCACTGATGCTTCTTGAAGTTTCTTGTGGCTGCAGGAATATTTTTAACTAGTGTAATGACAACTCCTTTGTGACCATCTCTGTCTAGCCTGTATGTTTCATAGCCTCTGACAGAAAAGCGAGAGCCTGTATTTAAATGGGTTTCTGAATGCTGGCAACAACAATATTGTGTTCATAGATTAACTTTTGCAGTTCGAGGTTTTTCATCATGACCCCTTATACATTCCATCGCATTATCTTGAGTGTTTGGGTATTTTTGCAGCCAGATGCATTATTCTGCTTAATCCTGGTCTGCGGATGCGCAGAGCTACTATCAGTAATTCGGGGTGGATCCCTTCGAGGCTCAGAATCCGGCACTGTTCACGTCTGGCAGTAGTCCACAGGAGCAGCCCTATAACGGTGTAGGTATCTATGCATACTCATTAACCGTAGACTGCACTGATGTCCGCTTCCATTTCTGGGTGCCCATTCAGGCCGACATGTCCGTCTTCGGTGGGGGAAGTTAAAAAGTCTCCCTATTCATGTCCTGGTTCATCCAAACACTGCCTGCCAGACATCAGAGGTTGTAGGAGTTTCCCTTCTCCACCTTTGATTACCCAGGTTGGGCTCCCAGGGTATCACCTTGGTGGGGATCGGGACATATCCACACACCGGTGGGCACAGCATCGGCCACACCCTGGGGATAAGGGGTGGGGGGGGGGGCACACTCCACTGAGGGTTTCTGTCTGACTTACCCCAGCCATAGCCTGGTATTTGACCCCTTCAGGCATCATGGGTCCGATTGTGTTAGCGATAGAGACTCGCTATGGGCCAGAGCTGTGTCTGTTACAACAGGTAGCACCACGTGTAGGTATGGTTGACTTGATTTGCAGAGGCTATGAGTTACGCGCAGGTATTTCCCATTTTTTAGGTGGGACCTGTACATACGAATCCTTGCTACCCATAGACAGAAGTGAATCATTGACAGCTGGTCAATTAGTGAACAATTATTTGGACGCTGCAGATATATGGTATAATAGACGAATTATGAGAATACCCTAGTCCAGAGTTGACTGAAACTACACCAGACAATACATTGTGGATAGACATGACTACCAACACCACACAGCATAGACCTTTTGAGAAAAAGACATTTTAAAGAATAGGCTTCCCTGAAAACCGGAAATATACAATATATATTTTATTACTAATAAAAGTAGCCTTACGGTAGATGCTAGTCTCTGAGCGTTAAGTGTTAGTCCCTTAATGTATCTAGTCGTCACTTTGTGAGATGCAATTTTTCGTTATTTGAAGCCCTACTCTGGCTCTTGCCAGGGGCTGCAATATAGCCAGGCCATAAATATGGCCTAATGGCTAAAGGCGGTTTCTGAGACCTCTCCACAGGTGGTCCTCATCAACATGGTGGCACATTGTGTCATCGGGTGTTTCTCACTTTTGTGATGTCCTGGTGGGGTAGAAAGTCAGTCAGTTAGTCCTTTACTATATTCTAGGCAATGTTATGATGAGGCTCAGTGGCCAGATGCTTTTATCACCTCATGTTTTTCTCAGATAATTCTGAAACTTGTTCCAGAAAGTTGAAAATGAAAGCCGAAAATAACATGTCAAGATGGACAACATACCACAATCAAATGAGGCATTTATGCATGTCACTTAACTTATCTATGGCTATTTGATGAAAGAAGCAATTAAAAAAAATGGCAAACATACAATGTACAGAAGAATGGAGGGACGAGAGGAGAGAAAGAGAAAAGAGAAAGGGAGCAGAGAGAGAGTTAGAGACAGAGCCTCGGATGGATACATAGAGAGAGAGAGAGAGAGAGAGAGAGAGAGAGAGAAAGAGAGAGAGAGAGAGAGAGAGAGAGAGAGAGAGAGAGAGAGAGAGAGAGAGAAGGGGTGGGGGTGGCAGAAAATCAAAGACACAGAGCGAGAGAGAGAGAGAGAGAAAGAGAGACATACAGGACAGATAAAGAGAGATGGCGAGAGAAAGGTAGAAGCAGATACACAGAGATGAAGGAGAAAAGACATGAAACTGGGAAAAGCATTTAAATTGACCACACCTGTTCTCAGATCTTTGCGTGTCATACCAATATCGTAAGCCAGTTCCTTTTTCCTATCCAGAACTGTGTCTGCATCAAAAGTGTGCACTTTCTTTTTCAGAGCTAAAATAAAATGGACTGAGATTTACACAAGAGTACAAATGTCGAAGTGTATGTTCTTAAATTTACTAATGGATGGAGATCAGGTAAGTGTTTGTTCAGTGAACTTACTGATGAAATGGTGTGGGGGTTGTTTCTAAGAATTACTTATAAATACACAGTGGGTGTTTTTTTCTTACATTTACTGACAAATACAGAGTGGGTGTTTGTCTTTTCTTTTTTCTTTTTAGAACAGAGTAGGTGTCATATTTACTGATGAATATGGCGTCTGTATTTGTTTCTCACATTTGTCAATAAATATATTATATTAAACACGGAGCCAGTGTTTGTTCCTTATATTTATAAGTGACAGAAGACAGCTGGTCAATATACACATATGTCTGTGTGTGTGTATATATATTTATATATATGATTGATGACTGGCACCTTTCCGTCTTTCCAGACAAGAGTGTTATATTGCGCTATGAAGAGGCATGGGACTCACAGCCCATGGCGATGGCGAGTATGGCTAGCCAGACCCGCCCAAGTCCAGAAAAGTCTTCCACAATGATAGCATTGGATTTCAGGACCATTGTTGTCAACATTTGTGTTTAATCTGTTTTTTTTCAGACGCTCAGCTCTCATCCTTTCTGCAATCATTTCTTCCTTTACTCTCATTTCCTTCCTGATTTGCCCTTTCCACACAACACGGTCCAGCACAAAGCCAGGACAGTATTGTAGAGACCTGCCTTGTTTACTCCAAAGGAAAGGTAAAACCAGTATGTTTGGAACAAAGCAGGCTGCAGAAGCTGCTGTATCAGAAGAGCAATGCTCTATCTGTCCGCCAGTCGGAGCTTCCCTCCTAGACCAGCTGCCAGCTAAGGCGAAGGGCCTGGTCTGCCCTGCCATAACACAAAGTTTTCAGGTTGTACTTCCTCTTCCTAGGATAAGGCTAGTATCCTCCCCAATGTATATATATATATATATATATATATATATATATATATATATATATATATATATATATATATATATATATATATATATATGTAGATATACATATATATATGTAGATATAAATGTGCGTGTATACATATGTGAGTTTGTGTGTGAGTGTATATATACATATATATATATATATAATTTAATGTGTGTATGTATATATATATATATACACACACACACGCACAATATATATATATATATATACATACTTGTATAATGTGTGTGTGTATGTGTGTGTATCTGTGCAACTCTTCCTAACTTTAATCCAAGTCACTCTTTCTCCCTGGCACAAGACCCATTCCCTGTCCTCATTGTCCAAGAACTTTTTGGGCCAGCATCGGCCTTATTAGTCATCTTCGTACTCATACTTGATGAAAAAGAGTGGTCATCATCATCTTGATGGACAACATACACACACATATATATACACACACACACATATATACATATATAAACACATACACACACATATATACCTTCCATCTTGCTATTCAGAGTTGAGATTAACGGTCTGTATGCCTGATCCTTCTCCCAGCACATCAGGATAATTTTCCAAATCCTCTCAAGGACTTCTAAAGCTTCTGGTACCAGCTTCTTCCCTTCATCTTCTTCTGAGGATGGTTCCCTGTTGTTGTCTTCAAGAAAAGTTGGGCGTGGGAGGTGCTTGTTTGTCTCCAGGTACGTCAGCATCTGAAACGACATAGCATTTCATGTTATGGTATCACAATCAATGCTATGCTATTACATTGAGAGATATTACTGCTGGCACCATATGTAGTGGGATGGATGGATGTACGGCCTCATGGCATGTGTGAAAAGTAGTTGGTGGGCTCCTAGTTGTTTTGATCATAACACAGTGTAGTGGTTTTAAGGTTAGGGTTAGGGTTAAGGTTAGGGTTAAGGTTAGGGTTAAGGTTAGGGTTAAGGTTAGGGTTAAGGTTAGGGTTAAGGTTAGGGTTAAGGTTAGGGTTAAGGTTAAGGTTAGGGTTAGGGTTAGGGTTAAGGTTAGGGTTAAGGTTAGGGTTAGGGTTAAGGTTAGGGTTAAGGTTAGGGTCAGGGTTAGGGTTAGGGTTAGGGTTAGGGTTAAATGTTGGGAATGAAAAGATCAGGGTATTACTTTCAGGCAACAAGTTGAAAGGTCGCAAAAGGTCACAAATCAGGCACTATAAAAACAGAATCTGAACTGCAAAACTGGTAACCATCATTCACCTGCACAAGTCTTCAAGTTTTAAGAGCATACAGGCCACACATATTTATTCAAAGTAAAACATGCAACAAGGATGTGTATGAAAATGAACATTCAGTTTCATAGTGTCTCTGTTTTTCAAATGAAACAGTCACTTTATTTGTTTGCAGTTCATGAACCACTGAACAAATGTGACAGTAGGCTAAAAGGCTGCCAAATGATGTAAGCAATGTAAGGTGTCGCTATGGCAAATGTTTTTTTTTTAAAAAAACAGCAAATCTGAGGTTGATTTTAGAATAGCCCTCGTAATTCAGTTATCTGGCATAACTTTAGTCAGAATATGTCACAGTATCAAGAGACACATGAATATTAAATATGAGCGAGTGTATAAGCACTAATTTTTTTTGGGAGGGGGGGGGGGGGGGAAAGGGGGGGGGGGGGGGGTCAGCCACTGTCTGCCAAGAATGCCTTAAATGAAGTTGATAAAAGCTCAATCATTATGAAAGTGGCACATTAGTAGCAAAGCACCCTGGTTGCTTCATTTAACATGATGTGTAAACACCATAATCAAACATGCTAACACCAGACAGAATATGTGTACTCCCCAATTATACATGTTAACACCACACATGCTAACACCAGACAGAATATGTGTACTCCCCAATTATACATGTTAACACCACACATGCTAACACCAGACAGAATATGTGTACTCCCCAATTATACATGTTAACACCACACATGCTAACACCAGACAGAATATGTGTACTCCCCAATTATATATGTTAACACCACACATGCTAACACCAGACAGAATATGTGTACTCCCTAATTATAGATGTTAACACCACACATGCTAACACCAGACAGAATATGTGTACTCCCTAATTATAGATGTTAACACCACACATGCTAACACCAGACAGAATATGTGTACTCCCTAATTATAGATGTTAACACCACACATGCTAACACCAGACAGAATATGTGTACTCCCCAATTATACATGTTAACACCACACATGCTAACACCAGACAGAATATGTGTACTCCCTAATTATAGATGTTAACACCACACATGCTAACACCAGACAGAATATGTGTACTCCCTAATTATAGATGTTAACACCACACATGCTAACACCAGACAGAATATGTGTACTCCCTAATTATAGATGTTAACACCACACATGCTAACACCAGACAGAATATGTGTACTCCCTAATTATAGATGTTAACACCACACATGCTAACACCAGACAGAATATGTGTACTCCCCAATTATACATGTTAACACCACACATGCTAACCCAGAAACTGAAAGAGCCAACAACAAATAATACATCAAAAATCAAAATTACATTTTCACCCCGACTGAGTTTCAGATCCTGTGAGAACTGGTCACTCTGGCACAGAAGCTCATACAGGGTAGTTCCCATAGCATATACCTCAGATTCATACGTGATTTTCTTCAGGTTATTTCTCCGTTCAGGTGAAAGCCATGGAGCTCTTCAACATAATAATGAAATAATATCAACCACACAAAAAGCAACACCAGTCAGCTTCACAGTATCAAATATACAAATGAATCTGCGGCTAGAGAGCCTTCATCAGCACACACATAATCCAGAAACCATGAGTTGTAAACCATTTGGCTCAGTACCATGGATAATGCAACCTTTCGGCGTTGATTCCATGATAGATACCGTAAATCTGGGAAATTTGTGGCTTCTCTGCTTAATCCCGAGCATTAACTCGGGCCACAAGGAGTTTGTCATCCTGTCACCCAGCTGGTTTGACCAACTTAGTTCAACACATACATAAACTTACAAGACCACAAATATTAACAAGAATACACAAAATCACTTAGCTGAAGTCTTTCCAATAGAAACCACATTGTCGCCTGACCAGCATAATAAATCTACAAAATAATCACAAGCTTTATATAATTTAAAAGCTACAGGTAGCCATATGGTACACCGTGATATAAGTGTTAACTGTTAGGTCTCTAAACACATACATGTATACACGCACACACACACATACATGTGAGTGAAATAATCTTCTTCTTCTTCACCGTTCATCCAAGTGACATAATTGTGTTGTGCCTGATTACAGCACTGCTACAACATTTGCAGTGACACATCCAACTTCACCAGGTTAGCCTTCCTGGTTAGTTTTTGTGGGACACGACATAGCCTTATTTTTGTGGTATTATCTTTGTCCCTTCATCTACAAGTGCAAATGGAGAAACCATCCAGGGCAACTGCATGTAGACTGTTTGACCTTCAAATGGATACAGGGGCAGAGCATGGACATTTTGCCACCATCTAAGGAGGTTTCGATAAAATAAAGGCAGAGCCAATACATGACATTCTGGTCCACTCACCCAAGGATTTGTCTTTTGAGCGGATTAAAGAATGTGATGATTTCATTATTAAAGGTCGCCAGCTTCTTTCTTCATTTCTTTTACTTACTGTACATATTCTTTTGGCAACTCATTTTGACAAAAACTTACTCATGAAAAGGATTTTGATATGTTGGAAAACAGAATAAGAAAGAGAAAGAGCATAATTGATGGCTGATGGCCTGTGTTTGATAAACATGTGCCAGTTAAAGAACTTAAGGTAAAACATCAAACTAAATCACTGTGATTTACAAGTGAAGTTCTGGAAAGTATGAGAGAGCTAGATATGGCACACAAGAATAAAAATCATAAAGTTTACTGTAAACTGAGAAGTAAAGTAAAATATTTGATTTGTAAAAATAAGTAAGATCATTTTTAAAAACTAATTACAGATGAAACAAATAGTGCAGTCATATGGAAAATAGTATTTAAAATAACTTAGATGTTTATTCATGAAGTCCATTACTGGTAAAATTATCCATTCACAGTTGAAAACAAGGGCTTGATGCATTTCCGCTGAGCAAAAATGAATGTCTGTTCATGCCATGACTCCAAAAAAATAGCACAAAAAGTTTATCAACTTGGCAAAATTCAGCACTTTCTGGGAAAAAATACAGGTAAAATATTTTACGAATCCTTCATCCAAACATATATGGACTATTGTTTCACAATTTGGGATGTTTGTTCCAAATCTAATGTCAAATGACTTTATTCTTTACAAAATTTGGCTTTAAGCCTAGTCTCTGAGAGAAACTACATCAAAAAGTTCTCTTGTACGGACATCTCATACTTCTGCAATTTAGTAAACATTTAATTTTCAACAAGGCCAAATTCGTTCACAAAATTCTATCTTAAAATACTCAAAATTACATTTTGTGATTGATTAAATTCAGCCCTAAAAATAGCAAGTGACTAAGTTTATTACATTTACCTAAACCTATTTGAACATAGCATACTTTATTGATAAAATACAACTGCTGTATGAAAGATGGGGGTTTGGAAGGGCCGAATGTAAGTCTGGCCTGTGTGCCCAATTTGTAACCCTTTGAAAATAAAGTTAGTTCATTTGTTTGTTCGTACTTCTAAAGAAGGACTGATACGTCTTTTTCTGCAGTAGCCTTTTGAAAAGGCCGTAGGTATACTGTGTTGTGGTTTACATCTATGCTGCCATATCTGCGCCTTTCGCCGAACTCATCAAATTTAAGCATACCATACTTAGTCACCTTGGGTGGGTACCAGGTGCAGTCCTGGGAAGTAAAGGTGGCTGGCGTGATGTTGACCACATCACCAATCTTGTGCCGATTGGTCTATAAAAATATAGGTCTAGAGCTAAATGCCCTATACGCCTAAACCCCCCCCCCCCCCCTAAAGGTTTGGAAAAGGGTCCTTTACTTTACTTATAATTAGTCACATTTTATGAAATGCTTGTTATGGGAGCAGTGAATGTATATGTTTTCCCCAAAATGAAGAGCATTCCCCAAACATACAGAATATGATTGAAAAGAGCAGGACAACAGATTCTTCAACAAGCGAAGCAGAAAGTATGGAGACACGTTTTGGTCAGAATATTTTCTAAATCTATAATTAAATAAGCATGATATCATATTAATTCAATTTTTAACGTTAGATGTACAAACTCCTCATGAAAACGAAAAAAGTTCTGGTCCTTTTGTTTCATATTTAGTCTTAAAAGTTTTTATTTGTAATTAAACTAATCAAAATTCAAGTATTAAAGATTATTACATGTACATTTGAACTCAGTTTCAAAACTGCTTGACCGTCCCCCTTGAAACCTCCTTGTGCCTCCCATGTTGGTGACCACTGCCACAAATGCACTGTCCCCTTCTCTAGCAGCTAACAAAGATTTATCCCAGTCATGGAGCCAGCAGAAACTTGATTAGATGTCTGACTGTTTTTTTTTTAAGGGTCAAGGTCATGGGAAGGGAAAAAGAAGACAGTGTGTGCAAAAAAGTAATAAGCATACAAAGTGAACAAACATGGTGGTTAGCTTAACTGACTAAACGCCTTGTGATAAGGATTTTGATGGTTGGAAAACTCAATAAGAAAGGGAAAGAGAAAGAGACAAACCGATGGCCTGTACTTCAAAAGAGGCACTGATACATCTGTGTTAGCCTTTAAAAGAATGGGAGGCATGCTATGTTGTTAGTTCAGGGCCCAAGTAAACATGACCTTTCAACATGATTAATTCTAACCTCTCACCTTTCAACATTAATAATTCTAACCTCTCACCTTTCAACATGATTAATTCTAACCTCTCACTTTTCAACATGATTAATTCTAACCTCTCACCTTTCAACATTAATAATTCTAACCTCTCACCTTTCAACATGATTAATTCTAACCTCTCACCTTTCAACATTAATAATTCTAACCTCTCACCTTTCAACATTAATAATTCTAACCTCTCACCTTTCAACATTAATAATTCTAACCTCTCACCTTTCAACATTATTAATTCTAACCTCTCACCTTTCAATATGATAAATTCTAACCTCTCACTTTTCAACATTATTAATTCTAACCTCTCACCTTTCAACATTATTAATTCTAACCTCTCACCTTTCAACATTAATAATTCTAACCTCTCACCTTTCAACATTATTAATTCTAACCTCTCACCTTTCAATATGATAAATTCTAACCTCTCACTTTTCAACATTATTAATTCTAACCTCTCACCTTTCAACATTATTAATTCTAACCTCTCACCTTTTAACATGATTAATTCTAACCTCTCACCTTTTAACATTATAAATTCTAATCTCTCACTTTTCAACATGATTAATTCTAACCTCTCACCTTTCAACATTATGAATGTTCTTCAAATTCAAATCATCAAAGTGGGAAACTATCCCAGGGTCACCAAGTTTCACTGTAATTTGCTTAGACCCATGAGGGACAAAGGCATAAAATTTCCTCAGTCTCAAGTTTCCATGGTAAATGTTGTGCTTCTCCTGAAATTTTTATTGGAAAGGAAAAAAAACTAGAATGAGAAATATAAATAGTCAGCTATTCAGTAAAACATAATTATGAATGGCAATACAGTGCAGCTAGAGTGCCTCTATATCCCAACATGGAAATGATAAAAATAACTTAAAGTAGTATATACAATTACTTAGATGTTTATACATGAAGTCCATTACTGGTAAAATTATCCATCTACGGTTGAAAACAAGGGCTTGATGCATTTCCGCTGAGCAAAAATGAAGGTTTATCCTGCTCTTACCATGGATAAACAATAGATAAGAAGGAACCCAGAGAAATAAGGGAGATCAGAGATCATAAGGTTATGGCCAGGTGAAAGGCGAAGAGGCCATAGCCAGGAATATTTTAGTTACATGAGAAAAAATACATCAAATTGTGTTAAATGTTGAGACCACGTAGAGATAGGGAGCCCAAATGAAAACTGACAGAGATTTATTCATTCTTTCATGGGATGGTCAAGATTTCTACTTCTTCTTCCTCACTTGTCCGGGTGACTTAATTACTTTGTGCCTGTTTACAGATAACTGTAATAATTGTGTTTTTCTACTGCCACATCAGACTTCAATGGGCATATGTTCATCGGGTTAGCCTTCCAGATTACTTTCGTGGGACACGGTGTAGCCCTATTTGTGTGGTGTCCTCTCTGTCCCTTTATCTTCAGGTGCTGCAACTGGAGAGCTAATCCAGGGCAATGCATGTAGACTGGTCGGCCTTCAAGGGAAGGCAGGGGCAGATGATTTGCACTCCCTGTCATCCATGGAGGCTTCCATAAATGCAGAGCCAATACATGATATTCTATGGTCCTGGGTTTACCCAAGGAATCACCACGTCCTGCACATAACTGCTTAACATCAAATCTGATTTTGAGCTTCCCAGCATCAAGGGCCCCACCCTTTGGAGACCATCAGGAGGCAGGCCAAGATTTAATACTGTGACGTTTTCACTGAAACTATTTAGTGCATCCAGCCTACCGACTCATTCTATGCCTGGGAGTCCCACAGTAGACAATTTCTGTCACCTTAATGTGATGGAAAGGTCAAGGTGGAAGAAATGAGCTCTGCACTTTGCAATCTTCTTCTTAGCATTCACTGGCTGTAAACTCTGGCTGAAAGTTCTGGTTGTTTGTCCACCCCTGGAAATTGGTCTTGAACTTGAGTTTTGCATGCACATCTGTTTTACACATCTAGCTTACTCATATGCAGACTCTCGCTTCCTTATCTCACAGGCAGATGCATTCCGAATTTAAAGGAAAAACCCCTAATTTGTCGCCTTCTATGGGATGCTTGTTAAGAGCGCAATGGCTCTATTCTTTTTGCTAAAAAAATTGCATCCCGGAAACCACAGATTTGATTGATTAAGCGACTGGATTCTTTTTCTTTTGTCATCAAATGGCCACCAGGCTGTATGTAGTCCAGTGTGGTGGTTTTGTGGATTTGGCTTGTACAACTTTGGCGGCTAGTGATGATTCTGTTCATCGTGGATTACTTCCCTTAATAACCTGTACATTTTGCTACAGATGGAGGGATGCAGCAAGTATGGGAACGTCCCAAGTGCAGTGATATCAACTCTTGATTTAATTATTCATATCGTGTCCACCTTGGTATCTTCTTCCTGATATTATGCCTTCCACTACTGTCTCATCTGTGCCACTGCAAAATTAAATTATAAATTATTTCAAACTCTGAGCGGCCAGTGTTTGTTCTGAGGTCCCAATTTGGAGAAAACAAGAATAGACTAACTGCCTCTCCAGAAAGTATGACGTAAGGGTAAACTAATTGAGTGCTTCCTTCGAAGTCGGAGTGCATTTGGCTGAGAGCCAAGGAACTAACAGTCTGCATACAAATAAATCAGATCTGTAAAACAAATGTACACACAGCACTTAGGTTCTGGAACAAGACTAAAAAGACCAATCATAACTTTTTGCTGCAGTATACAACCAATGAACACAAAGAAGAAGAATCTCTAAGCAAAAATTAAGAGCAATATAGTAGAACCAGAGGCAGGATACACATAGGAGGACAATAAAAGCTAGAATGAGATAGCCATTAGAACCCAGCGGAACACTTGCCATCAAGGTCACAATCCTAAAGACACCATCAACCTATTGAGTCCTGGAAACCACAGATTTGATTAAGTGACTGGATTCTTCTTCTGGCATTAAACTGCCACCAGGCTGTAGTCCATGATATTTTGTGAGACCATGATATTTAGTGAGATCATGATATTTAGTGAGATCATGATATTTTGTGAGATCATGATATTTAGCGAGATCATGATATTTGGTGAGACCATGATATTTAGTGAGATCATGATATTTAGTGAGATCATGATATTTGGTGAGATCATGATATTTGGTGAGATCATGATATTTAGTGAGATCATGATATTTAGTGAGATCATATTTGGTGAGATCATGATATTTAGTGAGATCATGATATTTGGTGAGATCATGATATTTAGTGAGATCATGTTATTTAGTGAGATCATGATATTTAGTGAGACCATGATATTTAGTGAGATCATGATATTTAGTGAGACCATGATATTTAATGAGATCATGATATTTAGTGAGACCATGATATTTAGATAACTTAATGGACACAACATACTCTGCAGGCATATTTACAACAAATTCAAGATTGGAGACTTTGTGCAATGACATTCTGGGGTAAGAGGGAATGAATGAGTGGATTGGCTTGCTGGTAGGGCCATGGCAGGGGGTAGGCACAGGAAGAGCAATGGACCGGGTCGATGTTCTCAATGCTCTCAAGCAGATGATTCAAGGGACAGTGGTCAATCAGCAACTTTGCCTATAAGGACACGCATCCCAGAATACTGAAGTTATAAAGATGCCTATCTTTTCTTTGCAGAAAAACTCACAGTATGTTGACAAGAATGATATTTTTAGAGATGTTCAGATGTATATTTACAAGTAAAAGTTGTTGTTATCGAAGTAAAAGTAAATGATCCATGACCGTGCCTTCAGATGTCTTGGGCATATACTCTAGACCTATTATATTTTATAGACCAATCGGCACTGGGTGGGTGATGTGGTTAATATCACGCCGGCAGTCTTTACTTCCCAGGACTTTACCTGGTACCCACTCAAGGCTGGATTGATCTGGGAGCCATATTAATTTTTTTTTTAAAGTCCAGAACTGTTCAGATTTGAACCTATAACCTTTGGATCTGCAAGCAAGCATCTGGCCGTTACACTATCGCTGCTCCCTCTATTTAAAGTAATTCTAGAGAAATAACTTTACGTACCATCACAATGAGAATTTTAATGATCTGATCCATGATATTCACTTTCTGTGCCACCGACTGGGGATTCTCGCAAATGAAGGTCAGGACATCATGATGTGGGGTAAACTCCATTAAGACAGAAAACTTTGGATCCAGAACCATGCAGTAGTACTTGAGGAAACTGGTCTTTTTAATGCGGTACAATGTTTGAAGTTTCACAAGTCCCTCTCGGAAAGCCTGGTCATTAATAAATATAATTGATGAAAATAGATCTGATCTGAAAGTATAAGTAGTCATTATGTATCTAAATGCTTTGGTGTTTACAGCAAGTTTGTAATCTGATGTTAGTTCCCCAACCAAGATAATATTAGTTTCTTATTCTGTCATTAGTTCCTCTAAGATAATGTAATCTGTCATTCTGATGTTAGTTCTCATCCCCCTTCTCCACAAAGATAACATCAATTTGTTATCCTGATGTAAGTTCCTCTACCAAGATAGTGCCAAAATGTCATTTTGATCTTAGTTCCTGCAAGACAATGTAATCTGTCACTCTGATGTTAGTTCATCCATCACAGTAATGCCAGTTTCATCGTTATGATGTCAATGTCAGTTTGTCATTCCGACATCATTCCTCCGTTAATGTCAAAGTAAAGAATCCTTTTCTTGTCAGTGACATAACTCTTTGAGTCCCAAAGAACGCATCATACGTTCATGGGCTCCTACCTAAAAGCCCAATGAACGTATGATGCAACAATTTTATGTCTATCTTCAATAACCCTTGGGACTGTGATGCTAAACCCCCTGTGACTCAAAGAGTTAAGGGACATACGATGTAAGACCTGTATATTTACAGATCAGTCAACATTTGCTGGCTGACGAGGACAACTTCATGCTGGCCACCTTGACTTTCCAAGACATCACCTTGTACCCATTTTTAAGGCTCGAGCCAAAGTTCTTTAAAAAAAAAAAATAAACTCAGTTTTAAACCCTAGACTTATGAGCTGGTAGGCAAGCATCTAACCATTGTCTCTTTCAACCCCAGGCAGGTGTCAATAAACTTACTGATTTCTCAAATACCTGTTACCTGCAGTAATTGATGATTCGATCCAAAGGGATGATGAGAACAACACGAAGGGACAAAATTGATAACTAGCACTTGCGATTTCATGGACTATTCATTATGACAGCCACATGGGGAACACCCAAAGTAGAAAAGCATATCATGTAAGCAGTAACAAATGAACACACAGTGAGTCCATTGGCATTGAAAGATATGCTGGGGTAATGTAAATATGTTCACAATGGTGATGTAAATCCAATATAGAATAGTAAATCTACCAAAAAGTAAAGAGTAAATTTTCATGTGTGTACATGACATGAAAACACAACAATAATGGGAATATTTACTGTTGCAAAGGCATCATTTTTAGATTGCAACTCCAAAAGCATCATCCGCTCATCATGAAACATCACCTCATATTTCTTAATCAGTGGATTCTTGTCTGAAATTGATGAGCATTTTTAATAAACATTTGTATAAAATTTTACTGAATAAACATTTGTATAAATTCTGTCAAGTAAACATTTAAATAATACTAATACAAACAATACATTGCACAATTTATTGCTAGGCGTATTTTGCTGTATCTCGTCAAGTGCGTTACTACAGAGTTACATCAACATAAAATAAAGCACAAAATTGAATAAATTCAACTGAAATGCGATTAGTAAACATTTGTAAAAATTCTACTAAATAAGCATTTGTAAAAATTCTATTAATAAACATTTGTATAAATTTTATTTAAAAATGTATGTATAAATTATATGAAAATTTTTTGAATAAATTCTTTTAAATAAACATATGTATAAATTCTATTTTATAAACATTTGTATAAATTCTATTAAATAAATGCTCTATGAGATAAATTTTCGAGAAATTAGATACATTTTGGATAAATTCTATTAGATAATTACTAAACATGTTAACAATACAATCCAGAATTCAGTGTGGAAATAAATAAAGCATACTATGCTCTACTATGTGGAAAGTTAGCGAGCTACGTGGTCTCAAGACATGGTGTCTGCCTTGAGTGCTAGAGGTTCCGGGTTAAATCCCTGGTAAGGGCTGGGATTTTTTCACGGGGACTTGGACTTCCAGTATTTTCCATGGTCTCTGTGTAGTGAGATCAGACGCCTTCTGGATAGTCAGATCGGATGCCCGTGTGCATTGTTGTGCATGTACAAAATCTTTTGGCAACTGGAAATCGAAAAGAGTAGCCTAATTGTGCTGCCTAAGCAAAATTTTGAGTTAAAAATCTACCCAAAGTATTTCAGGATCCATGCTGGTGCTACAGAGCCTGTGCACTGTGCTGAGCTTCTCCGGATTCAGACTTGAGTTAGAAGAAAGAATGCAGCACTTATGCCATGATGTTGATCCGTTGTTCAAACTTCAAACTTCTATGTGGAAAGCAAGGGGAGACTACCAATTATCTAAGCCTAGAAAATGCAGAGGCATATTAGGATGTAACCAGGTCATGATTTGGTTAGTATTAGGTCAACGATGGGTCATCTGCAGACAGGCATATTAGAATGTAACTAGGTCATGATCATCTAGTATTAGGTCAAGGCTGGGTCATCTGCAGACAGGCATATTAGAATGTAACTAGGTCATGATCATCTAGTATTAGGTCAAGGCTGGGTCATCGGCAGAAAGGCGTGTTAGGATGTAACTAGTTCATGATTCGGTTAGTAATAGGTCAAGGCTGGGCCATCTGTAGAAAGGCTAATTAGGATGTAACCAGGTCAAGGATGGGAATGTTTCTTTCAGGGCAGGGGTGTTAGGTATTTTATTTTTAGCAGACCCCCAACCCAGTGCTTAAAGGGAACACATATGGTTAGAACAGGAGTTTATTTTGATATTAGGCTCTATGTAGGCACTGCAAAGAAGCACACATGCGATGGCAACAACAGTCATGAAATCCAATACTCTATCTGTGGAAGGCCTTTCTTGACATGAGTACATCTCACTAGTCATACTTGCCATCAACAGGCGCTGTGTCTCCTATGCAACCCTATAGCTCAATATAACACTAACAATATAAGCTGGGAGTAATCTTCCACAACCTCATCCACCACACAGCTACAAGGAAATCAAAACAGCGCTAAAGCAGTATTTCAAGCGGGGGTGGAGAAGGCAGAATGGAGATTACAGACCAGAGAGTGACAGCATAAACAAACTCAACAGGAAAGAACAAACATCAATTTTTAGACTTTGGACTGGACACTGTGGTCTTTGAGCACACCTGTACAGGATAGGCATAAAAGAATCTGCTGCCTGTGATTGTGGAGCAGAAAGACAGACCCCTGAGCACATACTGCAGTACTGCCCTTACCTCTCACAGCAAAGATCTGGCCCAGGGGATCCACATTGCGAGAGAAGCTATGGGGGACCGGTGGCGACCTTAAACGCACAATCCTATTTGTGACCCAGACGGGACTTAATGTTTAGCATGACTGATGTCGTACGCAGAAGAAGAAGAATATAACACTACGGAAAGATGTGAAAACGCTAACAGGCTCCATGTATAAAATAAGCGATGGATCAGACTGGTATACTGAATGTTATATTAAGAATCGATACCACAACATTCAGGACACTCCCATAAGTGCTCAGTCTCCATCTTCAGCAGCAAGCCATGAGTTCCAATTCCAATGGTACCAGTAACCGTCTGATTGTATATCCATCTCATCCCTCTCCTGAGTGTTGAGTGTCCGCTGGATCTCCTGGTAACTCCAGCGCCATTCTCCTTAGACCATAATGATCTTTCTGTACCTCCGCACTGTTTACTCGCTCCCAAAGAGCCCTCACAATATCTAACTTGTCATACACACTGAATGTTCTATGAGAAGATATTTGCAACAATCAAGAGATGAATGTAAATCTTCAACCATGATCAGACTGCATGAACAGTAAGTGAAAAGGAGTGAGACCTTACAAGAACACTATGCAGGAGGCTAACAGAATAATAATAAACCAATTCATAACGGGTGTCATTGGCTGCTACAGACTGTGGAATATCTTCTTCTTCTTCTTCTTCTTCTTCTGCGTTCATCCGAAGATGTAACTGCGCTGTGTCTGTTTACAGCATGGCTGCGATATTTGCACCTTTTGGCCAACACATCCGACTTCTGCGGGCATTTGTTGACCGGGTTAGCCTTCCCAGTTAGGACATGGCAGTCTCTTTGTTGTGTGGTCATCTTTATTTCCCAAGTCACAGGTGGTGCCCCAATCAGGCTGGTCCAGAGAAGCCACATAATGCTGGTCAGCCCTCAAGAGAAGGCAGGGGCAGAACATGAGCATTCCCCAACATCCAAGGAGGCTTCCACAAATGCAGAGCTAATACATGGTGATCTGGTACTGGGCTCACCCAAGGAATTGTCACGTCCTGCTCATGACTGTTTAACCTCACCTCACTTCCATATATTGGACATCTCATACATCATAAGCTATCTCTTTTATAGCCAACAGTATGCAGCCTGCAGACCTAGGATTTAATTTACCTACACCACAAAATTAGACTGTGGGATATATTGAGAAGGGCATCAGAGCACTTACGGAATGTTTCGATATGTACTGAGGATGATCTGTTTACCAACACTTCCAGTAATTTTATAGAAACAGCAAAATTAGTGTGTACATCCATTATACAGATCTGTCCTACTTGTATGCAGAGTGTTGGTTATGTGCCTCTCAGGCAGACGCACTCCAATTTCAAAGAAAACTCCTAGTTAGTCACCTTTACAACCTGCTGGTCAGACATGCAGTAAATCTATTTTTTTTCTCTCCCTAAAATGGGTCCCCCTGAACCCACAAAGTTTGGAAGTTTGAAGTTTGAACCATGGATCAACATCATTGCACATGGGTAGTAACCCATAAGGGCTCTGTTCTTCTTTTAACTCAAGTTTTAGTCCAAAGAAGTTCGGCATAGTCCACAGGCTCTGTAGTACCAGCGAGGATCCTAAAATACTTTGCGTTAATTTTAAACTCCAAATTTTGCTTGGGCAGCCAAGGGATTTTTTGACGTGTGCAACATTGCACACGGGCGTCTGATCTCACTACCCAGAGACCAGGGGAAATTACTAGGTCCAAGTCCACTTGAAAAAAAAATCCCAGCTCTTACTCAGGATTGAACCCGGAACCTCTAACAGGAGGCGGACACCATGCCTGGAGACCACACAGTCCTCTACCCCACAAAGGAAGCTTTTAAATATTGCATTTAGCCTTATCATCCAATTCTTATCTTATTCTGATTTTTAAAAATTTGTTCATCTGATCTTTTCTGATTTAGTCAATGTGAAAAACTGCTACAGTGTACTTTTTGAGCTTCTGCACCCAATCCATATTAATAATGTCCTTGCTTTTCAAAATTAGTTTGGACTTTTCATTAAAGATAAAAAAATCTCTTGTCTTCTTCTGAAGTAGAGCTTATCTCTGACTAGGTTATCTCTGACTTGGTTATCTCTGACTAGGTTATCTCTGACTAGGTTATCTCTGACTAGATTATCTCTGATTAGCTTATCTCTGACTAGGTTATCTCTGACTAGGTTATCTTTGACTAGGTTATCTCTGACTAGGTTATCTCTGACTTAGTTATCTCTGACTAGGTTATCTCTGACTAGATTATCTCTGATTAGCTTATCTCTGACTAGGTTATCTCTGACTAGGTTATCTCTGACTAGATTATCTCTGATTAGCTTATCTCTGACTAGGTTATCTCTGACTAGCTTATCTCTGACTAGGTTATCTTTGACTAGGTTATCTCTGACTAGGTTATCTCTGACTAGATTATCTCTGATTAGCTTATCTCTGATTAGCTTATCTCTGACTAGGTTATCTCTGATTAGCTTATCTCTGACTAGGTTATCTCTGACTAGCTTATCTCTGACTAGCTTATCTCTGACTAGGTTATCTCTGACTTGGTTATCTCTGACTAGGTTATCTCTGACTAGGTTATCTCTGATTAGGTTATCTGACTAGATTATCTCTGATTAGCTTATTTCTGACTAGGTTATCTCTGATTAGCTTATCTCTGATTAGCTTATCTCTGACTAGCTTATCTCTGACTTGGTTATCTCTGACTAGCTTATCTCTGACTAGGTTATCTCTGACTAGGTTATCTCTGACTTGGTTATCTCTGACTAGGTTATCTCTGACTAGGTTATCTCTGACTAGGTTATCTCTGACTAGATTATCTCTGTTTAGCTTATCTCTGACTAGGTTATCTCTGACTAGGTTATCTTTGACTAGGTTATCTCTGACTAGGTTATCTCTGACTTGGTTATCTCTGACTGGGTTATCTCTGACTAGGTTATCTCTGACTAGATTACCTCTGATTAGCTTATCTCTGACTAGCTTATCTCTGACTAGGTTATCTCTGACTAGATTATCTCTGATTAGCTTATCTCTGACTAGGTTATCTCTGACTAGGTTATCTTTGACTAGGTTATCTCTGACTAGGTTATCTCTGACTAGATTATCTCTGATTAGCTTATCTCTGATTAGCTTATCTCTGACTAGGTTATCTCTGATTAGCTTATCTCTGACTAGGTTATCTCTGACTAGCTTATCTCTGACTAGCTTATCTCTGACTAGGTTATCTCTGACTTGGTTATCTCTGACTAGGTTATCTCTGACTATGTTATCTCTGATTAGGTTATCTCTGACTAGATTATCTCTGATTAGCTTATCTCTGACTAGGTTATCTCTGATTAGCTTATCTCTGATTAACTTATCTCTGACTAGCTTATCTCTGACTAGGTTATCTCTGACTAGGTTATCTCTGACTAGGTTATCTCTGACTAGCTTATCTCTGACTAGCTTATCTCTGACTAGCTTATCTCTGACTAGGTTATCTCTGACTTGGTTATCTCTGACTAGGTTATCTCTGACTATGTTATCTCTGACTAGATTATCTCTGATTAGCTTATCTCTGACTAGGTTATCTCTGACTAGGTTATCTTTGACTAGCTTATCTCTGACTAGCTTATCTCTGACTAGCTTATCTCTGACTTGGTTATCTCTGACTAGCTTATCTCTGACTAGGTTATCTCTGACTAGGTTACCTCTGACTAGGTTATCTCTGACTAGGTCAAGATGGAAACAATCTTAAACAGTTCACCAGTACCTGGTATTTCTGAGACTCTAAGCAGGTCCTTATTCATGGCTAGAAGCCCTGTTGACTCTATTTGAACATCCTCACTGGTTGTGTGGGGCCCATAATACTCTGGTTTCGTTTCTTGAAATTCCTCATTAATGTCTGCCAATACTGAGACTAAAAAAAAAAAAAAAAAAAGAAATTGTTGAATCATCATTAATTGCAATAAAACGTGTAATTCTAATATTCTCACTAAAATAAAATGCAATGTTTGTATGTGATTTAACACCCCCCCCCCCACACACACACCTTAGTGACTGCAGTAACAAAGTGGCAAGATACCTGTTTACCAGCCCTAAGGTCTTGAGTTTGAATCCCCATCAAGGCAGATTTCTTTAACTGAACATGATCCCAGGCTGATCTAGCCTACAATGAATGCTACCAAGAATTGTCCTAGGAAGTAAAGCTGGTGAGAAGTAAAGGTAGCTAGTAGGATGTTGACCACATCAAAACTACTCTGGTGCTCGAGTCTTAAAAATGTGATACAAAAAATGATTAGATTTTTCTGGAAACTGTCCAGGAAGGAAAGGCAATATAATGGGTTCCAGCCAACCTAGCTTCTGCTGTGGCCTAGAACTCTCTCTCTCTCTCTCTCTCTCTCTCTCTCTGTGTGTGTGTGTGTGTGTGTGTGTGTGCGTGCGTGCGTGCATGTGTGTGTGTGTGTGTGCGCGCGCGTGCCTAATCATGTAATGGGGTGGTGGGTTGGTAGCTTTTTTTTTTTTTTTTCAGGATTGCAGTGTGTAGGATTAACAAATCAAGGCTGAAATTAAAACAGATACAAATTCTGGAAACTGTGCTAAACAGATTCTCTAACCTTAGAGCAGCAGCAGAGACCGCCTTAGCTGAAAATTGTAATTCTGTGACACTTCTTCTTCTTAACGTCTTCTTTTACCATTTAGGGTGCCGAGAGAGATGTAAGGTCCTGCTTCGTGCTCTTCTGGCTGCTTCACCCATAGACATATCATGGTGCTGTAGAGTTTATCTGATGTTATCTTCCTATGTTATTCTTGGTCTACCTCTTGCTTCACATCCTCCTCCTCTTTTGGTGTATGCCTTGTATGGTATAGCATCAGGAGGCATTCTCTCCAACATGGCAAAAACATTTGATTTGCTGTCTTTTTATGTAATTTAGAATTGGTTCTGTGCCGACTTTATCTCCTGTGACCCCATTCCTGATTTTAACTCTTCTGGTCACTCCACAGTCTTTCTCACACACCTCATTTCCATGGTTACTAATTTTCTTTTATGTCTTGTTGTGAGTGAACATGTCTGGCAATGGTAGTATAGGGTGAGAATGAACATGCTTTGTATGAGATGTTTCTTCGTGCTGATTGGGATTGCTTTATGCTGTAAGAGGAAGGCTAGCTGTCCCAATACTTGGCCTGCTTTACTGCATCAGATATTTCTTCATCTAATTTATCATTTTCAGTGAATAGTAAGAATCACAGCCAACTGTCAGTATGATAGCAGTGATCTCTGTAGACTGTCAGTACAACAGTTATTTTCTGTAAACAGTCAGTATTACAGTGATGTTCTCTGTAAACTGTCAGTATTACAGTGATGTTCTCCACAAACAGTCAGTATGACAGCTATTCTCTGTAAACTGTCAGTATTACAGTGATGTTATCCCCATACTGTCAGTATGACAGCTGTTCTATGTAAACTGTCAGTATTATAGTGATGTTCTCCCCATACTGTCAGTATGACAGTTGTTCTCTGTAAACTGTCAGTATTACAGTGATGTTCTCTGTAGACTGTCAGTACAACAGTTATTTTCTGTAAACTGTCAGTATTACAGTGATGTTCTCCACAAACAGTCAGTATGACAGCTATTCTCTGTAAACTGTCAGTATTACAGTGATGTTCTCCCCATACTGTCAGTATGACAGCTGTTCTATGTAAACTGTCAGTATTATAGTGATGTTCTCCCCATACTGTCAGTATGACAGCTGTTCTGTGTAAACTGTCAGTATTACAGTGATGTTCTCCCCATACTGTCAGTGTGACAGCTATTCTCTGTAAACTGTCAGTATTACAGTGATGTTCTCCACAAACTGTCAGTATGACAGCTATTCTCTGTAAACTGTCAGTATTACAGTGATGTTCTCCACAAACTGTCAGTATGACAGCTATTCTCTGTAAACTGTCAGTATTACAGTGATGTTCTCCACAAACTGTCAGTATGACAGCTATTCTCTGTAAACTGTCAGTATTACAGTGATGTTCTCCACAAACTGTCAGTATGACAGCTATTCTCTGTAAACTGCAAGTATTACAGTGATGTTCTCCACAAACAGTCAGTATGACAGCTATTCTCTGTAAACCGTCAGTATTACAGTGATGTTCTCCACAAACTGTCAGTATGACAGCTATTCTCTGTAAACTGTCAGTATTACAGTGATGTTCTCCACAAACTGTCAGTATGACAGCTATTCTCTGTAAACTGTCAGTAATACAGTGACAATCACTGTGGAACTGTCAGTATGACAGCTGTTCTATGTAAACTGTCAGTATTATAGTGATGTTCTCCCCATACTGTCAGTATGACAGTTGTTCTCTGTAAACAGTCAGTATTACAGTGATGTTCTCTGTAGACTGTCAGTATGACAGTTGTTCTCTGTAAACTGTCAGTATTACAGTGATGTTCTCTGTCAGGGTTCGCCCTGTTATGGGACAGTTCAGTATAATGATGATGAATCTCGTCATCTTACCCTGCGACCCTTAGTGCAACTCAGTACGTGTATACACACGTAGAAACGAGCATGAACGCATGAGCGAAGAGTAGCTTGGTCATTGACCAGCGGATTTCACGAAGGTTTTGACCATCGAGTGTGAACTCGGAAGCGCAGAACAAAACGGGTGTGCAGAGTAGACTGCACATTTTGGACCGGATGCTGGACGCTTGCGGGGGAGACTGCAAGGAAACTGGACGTGGGACAGAGTGGAGATTGTGCTAGACTTTAGTGACCGTTCGTTTTGACTTGTAGAAAGGTACCAGTGTAGTTGTTAGCTGTAACGCGTTCTGTTCGTATTGTCACTGGACGTGGGACAGAGTGGAGATTGTGCTAGACTTTAGTGACCGTTCGTTTTGACTTGTAGAAAGGTACCAGTGTAGTTGTTAGCTGTAACGCGTTCTGTTCGTAGTGTCATTAAATGTATTTCCTTCGTTACAGAGTAGACAGCATGTGTCCTAGTTAGATCTCAGTTAATATCTCATGTAAGGTAGTAGCTAGACTGTGTCAGTAGTTGTAACTAGAAGCCAGACTATGCATTGTTGGTGGCATTAACACTGTCGACGCACTTAGGCCTACACGTTGCGTATGCCATAGCGTTTTTAGCATCGGGAGACAGCGGGTTGAGCTGGCACTGTACGGGAGAGAGGTAGCGGCTCAGAGCTTATTTCATGAACGTGTAAAGGCTCCTCTAAGCGATTTTAAAGTTAGACGCGGCCTGGTTTGAGAATAAGGAGCGCTACTCCACCTGAGGTGTACCACCACTTTGTTTGTATCTTTGATAATAAAGATTGTGTGTGTGTTGCAACCAGTATTTGGCTTGAGTGTGTTTGTACAGTGTTTTCTTGTCATTAGCCTTTAGCAGAGCCAATGGAATCGAAACCCTAGACAATTAGGTTCCTGACATTCTCTGTAAACTGTCAGTATGACAGTTGTTCTGTGTAAACTGTCAGTATGACAGTGATATTCTCCACAAACTGTCAGTATGACAACTGTTCTCTGTAAACTGTCAGTATTACAGTGATGTTCTCTGTAGACTGTCAGTATGACAGTTGTTCTCTGTAAACTGTCAGTATTACAGTGATGTTCTCCAAATACTGTCAGTATGACAGTTGTTCTCTGTAAACTATCAGTATTACAGTGAAGTTCTCCACAAAATGTATCAAAGTGGTCTTACTTCTGTCTAAACTGACAATAAGGGTCAGCAAATCTCCCCATGAATGACTGAATGTATGAGCTGACATCACCTACTCTTGTGGCTTTCACATACGGGCTTCAGCTCATTCCTCAGTAGCCAACATCTCTGCATGTGTTGTATTTGTGTTGTGTTGAGCTAAGAACTGACATTATAGCACTTGGGACATTTTCAAGTGCTCAATCCTCATCTTCAGCAGCCAACAAAGAATACCAGTGGTGCTAGTAGCAGTTTGATTATATGTCCATCTTGCCTTTCTTCACAGAGCAGAGTGTAAACCAGATCCCCTGATGACTCCCAGCTGTACTATTTTCCCCAGACCATAATGATCTATTTGTACCTTCGCATTGCTCACTTGCTCCCAAATGGCCTTGAACCAAGTCGAGGCTCGCCCCTAAGGGGCAAATCCATAGGGCCACCAACAAGACTAATTTCTGAGAGGTAAGCGCCTGCTTCAAGAAAGAAGAATAGAATCTCTTGCTATGCAACAACAACCTAAGGAAACCAGCAGGAAGGAGAACAGTAGAAGTAAAGCAAATACCAGAAATGAAGAAATAAAGGAATGTAAAATGACCTGGAATATCACAGGCAGAAAAGCAGCAGACATGCAACAATGGAGATCATTTGTGAATGCCTTCTGTGTTAAAAGCAACATGTAGAGGATACAGATATTGGAAATATGGCGCTAGTCATAGACTCAGGAATAGATTTATGACTGAAGGATATAGCAGGAAGGTCATTAGAATATACAACTAGGACATAGCAGTTATATCATTAGAATATATGGCTAGAACATAGCAGTTATATCATTAGAATATATGGCTAGAACATAGCAGTTAGATCATTAGAATATATGGCTAGAACATAGCAGTTAGATCATTAGAATATATGACTAGAACATAGCAGTTATATCATTAGAATATATGGCTAGAACATAGCAGTTAGATCATTAGAATATATGACTAGAACATAGCAGTTATATCATTAGAATATATGGCTAGAACATAGCAGTTAGATCATTAGAATATATGACTAGAACATAGCAGTTATATCATTAGAATATATGACTAGAACATAGCAGTTAGATCATTAGAATATATGACTAGAACATAGCAGTTATATCATTAGAATATATGGCTAGAACATAGCAGTTAGATCATTAGAATATATGACTAGAACATAGCAGTTATATCATTAGAATATATGGCTAGAACATAGCAGTTAGATCATTAGAATATATGACTAGAACATAGCAGTTATATCATTAGAATATATGACTAGAACATAGCAGTTAGATCATTAGAATATATGACTAGAACATAGCAGTTATATCATTAGAATATATGACTAGAACATAGCAGTTAGATCATTAGAATATATGACTAGAACATAGCAGTTAGATCATTAGAATATATGACTAGAACATAGCAGTTATATCATTAGAATATATGACTAGAACATAGCAGTTATATCATTAGAATATATGACTAGAACATAGCAGTTATATCATTAGAATATATGACTAGAACATAGCAGTTATATCATTAGAATATATGACTAGAACATAGCAGTTATATCATTAGAATATATGGCTAGAACATAGCAGTTAGATCATTAGAATATATGACTAGAACATAGCAGTTATATCATTAGAATATATGGCTAGAACATAGCAGTTATATCATTAGAATATATGGCTAGAACATAGCAGTTATATCATTAGAATATATGACTAGAACATAGCAGTTATATCATTAGAATATATGACTAGAACATAGCAGTTAGATCATTAGAATATATGACTAGAACATAGCAGTTATATCATTAGAATATATGACTAGAACATAGCAGTTATATCATTAGAATATATGACTAGAACATAGCAGTTATATCATTAGAATATATGACTAGAACATAGCAGTTATATCATTAGAATATATGACTAGAACATAGCAGTTATATCATTAGAATATATGGCTAGAACATAGCAGTTAGATCATTAGAATATATGACTAGAACATAGCAGTTATATCATTAGAATATATGGCTAGAACATAGCAGTTATATCATTAGAATATATGACTAGAACATAGCAGTTATATCATTAGAATATATGGCTAGAACATAGCAGTTAGATCATTAGAATATATGACTAGAACATAGCAGTTATATCATTAGAATATATGACTAGAACATAGCAGTTATATCATTAGAATATATGACTAGAACATAGCAGTTATATCATTAGAATATATGGCTAGAACATAGCAGTTAGATCATTAGAATATATGACTAGAACATAGCAGTTATATCATTAGAATATATGACTAGAACATAGCAGTTATATCATTAGAATATATGGCTAGAACATAGCAGTTAGATCATTAGAATATATGACTAGAACATAGCAGTTATATCATTAGAATATATGGCTAGAACATAGCAGTTAGATCATTAGAATATATGACTAGAACATAGCAGTTAGATCATTAGAATATATGACTAGGACATAGCAGTTATATCATTAGAATATATGACTGTAGGATATAGCAGTTAGGTGATTAGAATATATGACTGTAGGATATAGCAGTTAGGTGATTAGAATATATGACTGTAGGACATAGCAGTTATATCATTAGAATATATGACTAGGACATAGCAGTTATATCATTAGAATATATGACTAGGACATAGCAGTTATATCATAAGAATAGATGACTAGGACATAGCAGTTATATCATTAGAATATATGACTGTAGGATGTAGCAGTTAGGTGATTAGAATATATGACTGTAGGACATAGCAGTTATATCATAAGAATAGATGACTAGGACATAGCAGTTATATCATTAGAATATATGACTGTAGGATGTAGCAGTTAGGTGATTAGAATATATGACTGTAGGACATAGCAGTTAGGTGATTAGAATATATGACTGTAGGACATAGCAGTTAGGTGATTAGAATATATGACTGTAGACATGCACACTGGTGTTGAATTAGATGTTTTCACATTTCAGACAAATCGCGTCTACTTACAAGTGTTCGGAGATGCCGCCACCTGTGGCCCACATCTACTTGTCAGGTGACTCCTCACTTGGCAACAATGATCAAATGTGAACTCTTGCTCGCCCATTGTTAGCTTCAACTGCCCACCTGGCAGACATTCTATTATTCCTGAGCTCGGTGTATTATGGTCATTGGGTGAGTTTCTGCTGAGCCTAACTCTAACATGGTATGTCCCAAACTTGTCCAAACTTTCATGGATGAGAAATGCTCCAATGTCAGATTCTTTGGTCTTCGTTGCTTCTTCAAGGTAGATGGCTGCCGTTGCGTTCCTGAAATTTAAAAGTAAATACATTTTGACCCAATATGTTAAGTGCTGGACGGACATCCTTATGCAATGCTTTCCAAACTCACAACAAGATTGTGGTCGAACAAAAAGCTGATGGACAGAACAAAAAATACAATTTACAATGTTTGCGTCTTTAACCTGCTCCCTTAAGGCAGTGAAACCTGGACTCTATCTGCTCTACAAGAAAAAAAAAAAGAATAATTTCCACATGCGCTCTAAGAGGTGCATTCTTGGTTTATCATAGCAAGATTTGTTCTTATAGAATGGGTACTCAAAAGAGCAGGAATGCCCCCAATGTACTTTCTACTGAAGCAAAGACACCTGCGTTGGTTGGGACATGTCTCTCGCATGCAGGATAGTCACATTCCAAAGGATCTACAAGATGGTGAACTGGTAACATGGATAAGATCATAAGGACATATGCAAAAGCGAAATCAAAGATACCTACACTGACACAGACATCAGGGAGAGATCTTCTACGGACTGCGACAACAAAGGAGAGTCTGTCACAGTTTGCAAGTGACGAAATGCAGCAAACTATAGAAATAAAACCAGCCTCAGTAAAATAAATGTTTTTATGTGAATTATATGGCAGAGATCTCATAAAGGTGATTTCTTGGTACAATCCTCATTATTCAGGATTTCTTTTTCCCAGTAACAATCTGATTGCATATACGTCTCACCTTTTCCTTGAGTGCTGTCATCCAGGTCACCTGGTCACTCCTTCTGGCACGTTCTACACCTATACTGTCAATGTATGTTGTAACAAGTAGAAAAGAAGGACGATGGTGGAAAAAGAGGCCGGGGGTGGGGGTGGGGGGTGGGGGAGGGAATCATGCACATTTATCCTACTCCTGAATTTACATCTGGGGATTTTGAAATACCTACATATGATCATATGCAACTTTAGCTTGATGTACATTCCCCTTGTGGGTTCTGGGACTCCATTTTTGGGAAGGGGGAGGAGATAAAAGTTGACAAATTAGGCATGTATCCTTCAAAGACAGAGTAAAGTAAAGTAAAGTAAAGTAAAGATCACTTTTCACGCCTTAGGCGCATCAGGTATTTGGGAAGAGGACCCATATTTGTACAGACCAAACGGCACTAGATGGGTAATGTGGTCAGCATTACACCGGCCGTCTTTACTTTCCTAGGATGTACACCCTGGTACCCAGTTTAGGCTGGGTCGACCCGCGATGCCCCAAACCATGATAAAAATCCACGCAGTCAGCAGTAGGTTTCGATCGCGGTACGTTGTAATTACGAGTCGGACTCGCAATGCCTAAGCAGAGTGCATCTGCCAAAAAGGTGTGGAACCAACAGTCTGCATAGAAATAAGCTACATCTGTAAAATGGATGAGTACACAAAACTCAAGTTCTGGAACAGCATCAAAGTCCAGAAGTGGACGAACAACCAGAACTTTCCGCTGGAGTTTAGAGCTGGTGAATACTGAGAAGAAAAGCTTGATGTATGTAAACTTATGCAAATTTTAATAAGGTAATGGGTGTCCGACCGACAGAGGTGGAGTGAACTGATTAAACGGTCAACAGCAACTGGTGACCCAATAACATGTAGTGTTATGTGAACTATGACTATGATGATGATGATAAATGAGGTCTTTAGTCATTCCTTATTTAGACAGACAACATATTTCCACCGATTCTGTTTAAAAAAAAAACATTTCTTGGTCTACAAGCGGGTTTTAAACTGATTCATCATCATGTAGCAGGTCCTTTGCAGAACGTCGCTCTCATCGCGGTCTGTCTGAAAGAAACTCAGTCTCTCGCCAGCTCTTCTGCCTCATGTACTTTCATACTCAAGAAGTCACTTATATTCTGTGCCTATCTTCGTGTTGGTTGGCCCCTGCTCCTCCTTCCTGGTACCATGCCTTCTGCTATTATTTTTTCCAATCCGTAGTGGCGCTTGAAATGACCAAAATATTTCAGCTTCCAAGACAGGATACTGTTTATTAGCCAATCTTCCTTGATGTTCAGATCTTGAGTTGAGTTGAGTGGAGTCAAGAACTGACATCACAGCACTTGGGGCATTCCCATGCGTGCTCCATTCTCATCTTCAGCAGCTAGCGCAGAGTTCCAATACTGATGGTACTGTTATGTTCAGATCTTTCAAGATGTCAGTATTTCTCCTCTTCTTTGTGCAAGATAAACTGATTACTGATTTAAAAATCAACATCATAACATACCGGCTCTACCCACAGATGTTCCATCCCCCGCATCAAATGTCTTCAAGAACCAGCTTCTCATGGGGACAATTAGTAGAAGTACTTTGGAGTGGCTGCTGCTTCGGAGAACTTAGAACGCATGGATATGCCCAATGTGCAGTGACATTATTTGTGATAACAAAACATAAAATAACATCTTAGTAGGGAGTCGGCAGTACGAAACCCAAGTTCAAGGTGTCTCCTTCATGCCAAAGAACTGCATGGCTGTTGGGTGAACAGTCGTTAACGATGGCAAGCAGGTCGTTGTAGGGGCGACGCCTGCTTGTGGATGTAATGTCCTAAGTCCCTTCCCCAGCTAATCGTGAGTGTACTGCTGGGGTGACCGTTTATTAACCCTCATATAATTCTTCCGGTCAAAATGGACGCTAGGCACGGGCACCTTTTTTTTTTTCAATATTTTTTTTTAAAATGCCGTTGCATATTTGCTCCATTTGTAGACTGGAGGGATGTAGTTTTGTCGCCCAGCTTCTGAGTTGAGTGCATGGCATGACACTGTGAGCTGCTTTTGTTTTTCGTTGGCACAGGAACGGAGCATCTGTGGGGTGACCCGTTTGCTATGAAGCTGAAACTAGGATTACCAGATTACCAGTCTTCAGGTGTAGATGCTAACTGTTCCCAAAGAGCACTGATTTTACGCACGTCATTCTCTTCCTTTTATGTGTCCATCTTTGCCAGATCCACACTAAATTCCTTGTTCATACATTCTTACTCATTTTATTTTATCCAACTTTGTGTCTTCTATCAGCACTGGTTCATAAATAGTCTTCATCGTGTTTCCTTTGTCCGGTATGAACATTCCCATTGCACTGCTTTTGTAGCCAGAAAATCTGTTCTTTTATTCTCTCACACTCTTTATAATACTCTACTGTAAAATTCTATGGCTTGGAGGTAAAAGTGAATGTGTATAAGGGTTTTATTTCCGCAGCGGGCGGTTTAGAAAAAACATATCCTAGTGGCGTTCGGACTGTGGTAAGAGATTCACACTGTAAAAACAAAAGTACAAGCATTCAACATAATATAAGAGAGCAGCTGATGCACATATCAAATCCAATCAACCTCCATCACAGAGAAAGCAAAGAATTGAAAAAAAAAAATATCCTTTCCATCAAATTTCTCAACATAAATGTAAGAAAAAAACTGCCTTCTACAAAGTAAAGAACGATTTTTCTGCCTTTTCTTCATATAGCAAGATACTTCTGAATATACTGTGGCCTCATTCTTTTAACAGTTTTGTTAATTATTTCCATAGTGAATGTAAAACAAGTAGATTAAGGACATTTTTCAAGCCAAGAGTATCAGTCACTACTGTCTGTGTACTATTTTAGGGCAGTGTAAACAGGAAGGGGTTCGTGGGCCTGAGGTTACAGGGTCGCATGGTTAGTGCTGTCGCCATGGACTGTTAAGGATAGGATGTTTAATTCTGCCCCCGACAGAAAAAACTCACTCACCCTACCTATCGGGGGTCGAATTCCCAGGTCTCCAGCATAAAAGCCTGACATTGTAACCTCTCGGCCAGCCATGCATATAATGCTAAACCCATATTTTATAGACCATTTAGCTCCTGATGGGTCAGGTAGTCCAGTGTTCTTCAATCTATGCAGTAAAGTCCAGGCGGGCTACAAAAATGTATGCCTAATCATGTAACAGTGTAGAGTATTTAATATTTCTTTACCAGGATTGCCATCTGTAGGATTAACCCTTCAAAGATGAACATCAAACAGGTATAAGTGATATTCAAAATGGCAAGTCAGCATTTAAAGACAGCTGAAAACTTTGATAATTATTTCCCTGATCCCTGTGTGGGTCTCACTGTGGGGTAAAACAAGAATAGACTCACTGCCTCCCCAACAAGCATGTTGCAAGAGTCGACTAACTGGGGGTTTCCTTTGAAGTGCATCTGCCTAAGAGGTAAGGAACCAATAGTCTGCATACAAATAAGTCAGATAGATCTGTAAAACAGATGTGCAAGCAACACTTGGGTTCTAGAACAAGACTCAAGTCCAGAGATGGATGAACAACCAGAACTTTCGGCCCGAGTTTACAGCCGGTGAACGCGACGAAGAAGAAGAAGAAGAATAAGTACCCTGAAAATTAGAATCTTGTAAAGGCAACTTTCTGATTAACAGTGCCTTCTTGGAAAATATAAAACCATGTGCAACCGATCATCAGGAAACAGAAAAAGCCATCCAGTTTCACTCTGACGCCGGTCTTGTGTCCAGACGCAAAATACAATCACTGTTTGGGTTTTGGGTATCACTTGAAAAATTATCCATACCTGAGTTAAAGAGCTATCAGATTGTGGGTCGTTTTTTATTATGTGTTTGGCTTACTATTTGTGTGAAAAGACTTCAGTATTAAAAACAAAAAAAGAGAAATCCAATGAATGTCAATGCAGCACTATCAGAATTAACGCTCCAACCAGGCATATACAATTTTCGGTTAAAATGGACGCTAGACAGCGGCGCTGTTCGGAGCAGAGGCACATTTTTTGCTTCTGCCGGACGGTGGCCGATGCATTTTTGCTCCATTTGTAGACTGGATATAGTTTCGTCGCCCAGCTTCTGAGTTGAATGCATGGCGTGACCCTGTGAGCTGCGGATTGCATTTGGAATGTTTTTTTCGACTGTGACCAACGTGTTAGTGTGAATTGTAGATTCAGAAAATGGCGCGATGCCTGTCGTGCAATGCTGGCGGGACCCGTATTAAAATTAATCGCGCGGGCAACTGCTGATCAAGTTCT